GACAAACCTGTGAATCGATCGACAAACTCCTGAATCGATCGTTATGCAGCTGAATTGTCTACGGAGAAAGCGCTCGAGGTGGCACAAACGGTGCAGGTGACCAACACACGAGAGCCATAGAAATCAAAAAACCACCGTAAGACAACCATCCACAAGATAAGAATGGACAACGTCTTTTCGCGGTGAGTGTCAAGATGAAAACCGTTACCCTGTCCTCGTTTTCATTTCAATTCCCAGAATAAGGATCAAATTTCGTTTCTATTTTCGATTCATCAGCTGTCATCATTGAGTGGAAAAACGGATAGCGAGAGGAAAAATTGTAGGGGAAATGAATTACATTTTTTGCTCGTGATAAAAGGGTCACGGTCAATTTTTGGTGGTGGATCAATGCGCGAGGATAGAAAATACGCTAGTAACGCAAGTTGAAGCGCGTGTAATACATTCATACCTAATGACAATACTGCCGTGCTAAGGAAGAACGCCGTATGAACATTCGAGAGTTGCCGAATTTCCCTCGATGAAAGGTGTATTTTTGACGCAATTTAAGCATTTTTTCCCTTGGAATTTTCAGATATTTTAGATTAAATTGCGTACAAAATTGTCTGGAAATTTTGGGGGAAAAGATTTACAATTTTCCCAGGAAATTCAGTTTTTCTCGAAGGAAATTCGGCATAGTCTGGAGCTCACACGGCGTTTTTCCTTAGCATGGCAGAATACTTGACTGCCACCGGTATGGTACTGCTTGGAGCGCTCAGCGCCAAATCATACTGACACGGAATGTTTGCCAAAGTAAATTTGAGAAATATAACGAATGATCATAAAAAAACAACAACATGAACCAGCCCCGCAAAAGTTTGTAAAGAGAGGAGTTGCGCAGTAAGAATGATAGCATCGGGACCATGATGCCATGTCTCATACTTTCTCAGTCTTGTGCGTGCTCGGAAAAATTCTTTTACGCACTCATTTTCAAACAATGTCAAATTAATGACACCGGTAGGCTGGTTTACACCCTGAACCCAGACTGTTTCGAAATTCATTCGAAATTTGACGTACAAACCTCAGTATGTTTCAGTCTCGAGTAACGCTATGAAGTTTTTACAGATTTTCCTTCTCTTGCTCGAAATTCTGTCTCATCATTTCACAGGTTGGCGGGTTTTTTCAAACTTTCAGTCCCTCCGAGCTATGATTTATTGATTCATTAATTTGTAAAAGTTCAAAGTGGAATGACTTCTTCACACGAAAGGAGATTCCATTTGTTGTAAATCGTTGACAAATTTAAGATGGAGGGTAAAAATATTTTAGAGTTTACAAAACCTCGTGCTCTGAGCATCACCATTTTGGAGGATTGAAAGTCATAGAAGAGAAGCTCATAATAAAACAGGAATGAGAGTCCGCCAGTTTATTCCGTTCACGTACATTATATTCAAAACCGGGATTTTGGATAAATCAAATAGGTGAGAACGATTCCATCATATTAGCTATTTTTGAAATATTAAAATCATTTAACATTTAAGTTGACGAATCGAATATTTTTCCTCATACTATTTGAATATGCGTTCCCCGATCGCTTTGCAGTCCAACCCCCCAGGTGCTTCGCGCCTTCAGCGTTACTCGTCAACTGTTACTTTCATGATTTCATATTATAGAGAAAGATATCGGCCCCAGTCATACGATTAGTGCAATTAGACCCTCGATTTTTCGATAATTCATCTTGCGAATCTCAAAGTACTCTAACGCAGTGTGCATGAAATTACACTGATCAATAAAGTTGTAGTTCTTAAGATATTCCTTAAATGTGTCGACTGATACTGGGCAAACTTTTTGTGCTGCTTGCTGAAATGAAATGATCTCAGTTTGTTTTTGCGTCAGCTCGATTTCCCTCAGAAAAATCTAAAGTCTCTAAGAAAAATTCAAGCTTTAACAGTAGTGAAGTCATTTTTCCGGAAAATCTGTGCACGATAGAGAAAGATTAGGGTGTTTTCTAAAATAGGCCCACCAAATGTTTAAAAAAATCTATTTTTTTTTATAGAAACAACGTTTTTCCGGCTCAAAAAATGTCCTCTTACTGAAATTTTGATTTCCCGAAAGTTTTGGAGGAAAACCAAGGTTCAGGGGTAAAAATTGAGTTCCAGTATCTTAATTGGCTCTCTGAAAAAAATAAATTCCCCCTTCTCCCCGACGCAAAACAATCCGGAAAAACCTCGATATTAGGGACGGAGGGGGAACTTTAATAAACATGCAACCCACACAACCATTTTGATAACCCATATAATTTTGGCTGAAAAATCCGAAAATGACTTTAGTCTTTCTCCATCGTGCACGCAATCTCCGGAAAATTGACTGTTCCACGAAAAAGCTTGATTTTTAGGGGAAAATTTCGACTTTTGCGGGGAAAATCGAGCTGACCCAGAAAAACGGAGGTCATTTTCGGAATCAGCGCTCTTTACTCGCAATCAGTTGATTAGTTGCAGGCACAAACCTCGATGCAAACACGGCTTTTTTCACCCCCCCCCCCCNGGGGGGGGGGGGGGGGGGGGGGGGGGGGGGGGGGGGGGGGGGGGGGGGGGGGGGGGGGGGGGGGGGGGGGGGGGGGTGGAAGTCAAAACCTGTGAATCTCAATATCTCTCGAACGAAGAATGATATCGAGGTCCGGTTTGGACACAAAATCGTCTAAATTTCATACTTTAAGATTCAAAATCCCGAAATCACATTTTCAAGTTAACATTTGCACTTTTTTCAGTTTTACAGTGGAGAAAAATTTCAAACGAAGAATTTTCAAAGTACTCAATTTTTTATCTGAACCAAAACCAATGTTTATCGTTTGAACCAGTTTACATCGTTACCTTTTAACGAGGAAGCATATTTTGCATTGTGCTTTGTTTCTCTTCCCGTTGACTGGCTCATTATTTAATGCATTTTTCATAACCTTATTTTTTCATTTTAAATTTTAGAGGCCTCTTTGATGGACTGTATGTCTGGAAAATCAATGAGGAAAATATCTGCATCCGCCGATGAATCGCCCCATAGACGTGAACGCTCAGTTAATGACGCTGAGAAAATGCAGCCCGGTAAATAAACCTCTAGTACCGTTAAGTTCGAAAACGACTCAAGGACCCAACTTAATTTGGGGCAGTCAAAAATCCTCTCTATTTTACTCAAATCATTTTCAAGACTCTCGATGGACGGGGTGAGGAAGGGGAGTAAGACGGTCAATGGGCAGGAGTGAGGAAGGGGATTTTTAATATAGTGGGCCTTTACTTCAGAGGCCTTTGTTTAGTCATGGCTATATGTTGCCCTGTCAAGGCCGACTCCCAAAACATGAATTAAAATTCAAAGTGAGGTGAAAGTCATTAAGAATAGTGTTTGGCGGGAAATTTTTCTTTGAAACATCGTTTTGTTATTCAGTGATTTTTATTTTCTCATTGACCACGAACGAGCAACCTCGACAATTTCGCTGGCCGCGAAGCGGCCTTTGGAGGCGCACCCCTTAGAATTATATAAACAAAAACAAATGAACAAGTATTGGACGTAGCTAAAAGGATCCAGAGACGGGTGGGAAAGAAGGAATGTGCTCGTTAGTTGAGGGCCGTAAAAATGAATGGGAATTATAAAGCGCCAGTGACGTCAGCATCGACAATGGGGACTAGGAGATCGACGGCGGGTTACTTCATTTCATGAGCCCTGTTTACAACGCTGTTGTCACATGTCCACGGCTCATGAGCCAGCATATTTTAGCGCTTAGGTCCTTTTGATTTATCGTAAATTCCATTTTTCCGAAAGGAGTCACGTCCACTTTTACATTGTTTCCTATGCAGCTCAAAGGAGCACACCCCATCTTTCCCACACGTCTCTAGTTCCTTAGATGTCTAGATAATCGGGAAGTTTGGGTTTATGAGAATGGGAAGAGCATTCATTTAAAATAGCAAGATTGAATCGTTTTTGAACTCGAGTAATTAAAAAAAATCAAGTAATTACGGAGTGGAAAAGTGAGCGAAGATTAAAGACATTGAATTCTCTTTTATTAATTTCAAGCCAAATTAAAGTCAACTCTATTCAAATTTTTCAAAATCAGCCACTGAACTGCAACTTTCCTGTACGTCCCGGAGGATTCACAAAAATTTTGAAAACCAAACTGACTCAAAACGATTAGGTAAATTGACTCCAGGAATTTACTGAAAATATCTTCAAGATCTCCGGATTGTGGCGTTTCAAGAGATACATCGCTAGATCTCAAAATACTGAGCCCGCTCGAACTTTCCTTTAATCTGGGAAAAGAAATTATTATTGCCAAACTGAATGCGGCTATCTTTGGAAAATTATAATGCACGAAAAAATGGGAAAAACGGAAAAAAAACCTCTCGTTCTTTCATTTCTCTACTCCATTACGATTCAACCTGACCCAAACTTCAATCCTCTTCCTCGATTGGGTTTCGAAAAACTGTTGATAAAGCCTATTTGCATATCGACGGTGAAACTACCAAACCACGTATCTCGGTTTGCGACGTCGTAGACTTCCTGTCATACTTCATTTTTTAAATGAAAAACTACTTAACGTCCAGTCTTGAAAATTTTTGTGATTTTTCCTCATCGTGCGGAGAAAATTTTGTGAAAATTTCAAGGAATGATATTGATTTGGTCTACTTCAGAAAAATAAAATGCGAGCGTAGATTTTTAAACACCGCAAACGAGATACCGACGGTGAAACTACCAAACCACGTATCTCGGTTTGCGACGTCGCAGACTTCCTGTCATACTTTATTTTTTAAATGAAAAACTACTTAACGTCTACTCTTGAAAATGTCTGTGATTTTTCCTCATTGTGCGGAGAAAATTCTGTGAAAATTTCAAGGAATGATATTGATTTGGTCTACTTCAAAAAAATAAAATGTGAGCGTAGATTTTTAAACACCGCAAACGAGATACGTGGTTTGGTAGTTTAACCGTCGATACGTGGTTTGGTAGTTTCACCGTCTATATTTTCCTCACAGGTCCAGGATCAGTGTCCAGATTGCGGAGACCCTTTTCTTCTTTGAAGGCGGCTTTTTCGTCCAAAGGTTCAAGAAAGTTATCAGACAATGCGGAGCTTAAGAATACAATCAGTGAGTCTCGGAGTTCAATGAGTGGTGATTCCTCTTTGGATGAGGGTGAGGGTACGTAACCAATCCAATTTGAGACTTACTTTATTAAGGAGGAGAATGGACCACTAGACAAGGTACGAATTTAAGCAATCTGATACATGTTTCTTGTCCAGAATTTCACGTAGAATACGATTTGCGCGACGAAAATTACTGAAACCAACTTCTAACAAAGATATTGACGTTTCCATTTCACATTGGTTACGAGGAATTTGAACTGCCCGCTGACAAGAAACTCAAAGTTCTACGTGAGTCAAATCGCGCACTACAGCGGTTTCAGCAAGCTGCTCAATCGAGCAACGTTCATTTCCCACCATGTGTTGTTCAAACTATAAGCTATTTGTAATAGATGAGCCAAAGTGTCAAGATTAAGGTTGCCAGATTTTCATATCGCAGAGACTGTCATGATAACGTTTAGTGCGCGATGTGAATCACGTAGAGCATCGAGTTTTCATGAGCGGATAGTTTGAATTCGCGCACCAAGAATCATTAAATATCTTCGTACGGAGTTGATATCGGTGATTTTCGTTGAGCGCATCGTGTTTTACGTGAAATTTTGGTTAAGAAACATGTGTCAGAATGTTGAAATTCGTACCTTGTCTAGTGGTCCATTTACAAAAATCTAGTAAAAATTATTTTAGCAAATGAATGTGAGCTTTGGTATGGCTGAAAAAATGAACGCTAGATAGGGACGGATATGGATTTCTTGAATGTAAGAAAGTAACCTGTCTGTTAGGTCAATGAAAAAAGGAATGAAAAAAGGTCAATGAGAAAAGGAACAGAAAGTAATATAATTTGCCAGCCAATATTTTTTCCTCGGTTTTTTGGGGGTTACACTCACCAAATTTTCAAGTTATTTTGATCAAATCTTTGGGTTGAAGACATAGGAATCTCATTAAGAATTAGGTGCGATCGGCCTGCGGGCCGATTGTTGAAAAATTAAATGGTGATAGGTCAAAATGTCCAAATAGATTTCCAGAGTAAAAAATTTCCAATATAAGAAAAGTCCATGAGTAAAACATGTCAAAGTATGTGTAAATCTCAAAGTACTCTCGACACTCTCAAAATTTTCTTTTTACAATAGTAAAAAGAAAATTTTTGATGTCTGAAAGTCCAGGTATTGAATTTTTTTCATCCGAACTTTATGCCACCGGTGATGACTTTTCTGAACTTGTTAAAATTCGCCTCCAAAATGACACAACTGTTGCGTAACAGTTACTATAGAAATCCTCTGGATTAGAAATATAACTGCTGAGCACTTCTCTAGAAAACACGGCTTCAAGTCATGTTTTCCTCCAACTATGACGCTGCGACGTCGCGCGCGGCGCACGACCATTTGGACTGCAATTTGGAACTATAAATTCTAGCCCGGTTTAAAAACAACGTATGTGCCATTAGTTTCCCTGTGCACATAAGTGTTTTTTCAGATGAACCAGACTTTATAGTTCAAAATTGCAAAATGAAGTCCATTTGCTCTCATGCACTGCTTTGGACGCGGCACTGCTCCCGGAGAAGTATATCTGCGTATTACAGCTTTCCCGCTTGTTTTTTTATTATAGATCGTATTCGACAGGGGTTCGATTTATCGTTTGGTTCAAAACAATAGAACATGACTTCGAACAAAAATTTTATGATTTAAATAAGGAAACCTAAAATGAGAAAATGTCTGAAAATTTTACTGTCTCTCCATTACTGTTAAATACATTGCATTACATAAGTATGAAAAAAACAATCTCTAGAAACTCGTTCTCTTAGATCACTCGACATGTTGAACCAATCGACATCGATCTATGTGGCGATAAATCCAGAAAACCGCGCTCGCCGGAAAACCATCTGCTCGATACTTGTCGCGTATCGAGTCGCCATGCTTGCTGGGTTATTTCAAAGCTTATTTTGTGGCGGGATCCTATTTGAATTTTTGCATCGTGATAAATAATTGTTGAGATTGCTGATAATCGTTTTTCAATCACTACCGTCATTGAAAGAGCCCATTGTATATTTACCTGTGCCGATAAAGCTCTTTAATTTTTACATGTCCATAAATTTACTACGAGCAAATCTTGATTCAAAAAAGTATCTTCTGTCTACACCTGCATGCAGTGCATAAAACCTAGCAGGTTTTATACTCGAGTTTCTGATTGATTATCGTTGTACGCAACCTTGTTCTCGTCGGGATGAGGATAAAATGCATCGCTCGATCCTGAAGACTCCTTCTCATAATTATGAACAAGAGCATAAAAAAATGAGCATGCAAAATGGACATGAGTGATGACGTTATGGGACCTTCCATCCAATGTTTGATGTGGGCTCAAGCGTCGCGCAAGCACCACTTACAAATTTCTGACGTTATATTCACTGGATGGAAATGTGGTTGAGCGGGTGAAATTTCTGAAAATTTTCAGCTCTGTCTCGAAAACCTTTTGACTTATCAAAAAAAATCCTCCCAAAAAATGGGGATACTCTAAAAAAAGGCTAGTTCGTTAGCATGACCAAAACAGGAAAACTGCCGTGCTAAGGAAAAACGCGATATGAACCTTCAGACGTTGCCAACTTTCCTCCGATAAAAGCCGGATTCACTGGGAAAATTGAGAACATTATTTTCTGATATCTAAAATATCTGATAATTTCAAGGAAAAGTATGCATGAATCTTGTCAAAAATATATGCTTCATCAAGAGAAATGTGGCAACTCTAGAATGTTTAAACGTCGTTTTTCCTTAGCTCGGCAGAAAACTAATCGTAGAACCACGAAGCAACGATGGAAACACAGAGAAACGCGTTCATGGTGTTAGAAAAGTCCCTTCTCCCCATCTAACGTTTTGCCCGATTGAGGTAGAGATTTGACTTTTGGAGGACGTTCCTAGGTCAAAGTTGGCTACCTTTTGGGCTCCCTAAAATTTCAGGGGCTCCCCGCTGGCTTCGAATGTGAAAAGCATAAACCCAGGACGGAGAGGTTTACTGACCAGTGTGATCTACTGATGAGATCTAAAAAGACCGAATACGTCATAGATCTCTCGGCGTGACGTCAACTTGATAGGTATTCCAATGCAAACTGCCTGAGCTGAACAATCTTTCCCCTCAGTTTTGTACTGGTATACTCGTTAGAGTTAAAATTTTTTGACTCTAATTGCAATTTGTGGCATTTCTCGTCTCTGATCCTCCCGCGAAATGGTGTGAACCCAGCTACATTTCTCCACTTTGCTACATTCAGATCCATGTCATTTTTTGTGTGTTTTTCCTCGTTTGTACTTGTATACTGTTGGATTTTTCCTCTAGTATGTCGAGATTGTACGAGATTTATGTACTTTCTTTTTGTTGTGCTTCGCTCCGGAGGGTTTGCAAATTTTGCTCGGTGCTACATTATTCAATGAAGATACAATTCTCCTGAGCCTACTGTGGTGCCAAAAATTAAAAGGTTATGAATTCGTATTATGGATGAACGGACGGTTTCTCCTTTTTTTCCTCTTCATACTTTTTCAAGTAACAGTAGATCGAGGGTTTTTCAATCAGCGATCGTTCAAAAAGGATGTATGTTTATCAAACTAAATAAAATTGACCTTAAAAATCGAAATCGTGAAAGGTTGATGCGGCAGGAAGTGAAGGAAGCGATCAGAAGAATAGAGGATAACATTTTCTTCATGGTTTCGAGGACAATTCGTCGTCTCCCGCACGAAGGAACGTAACTCCAATCCAAGGTTGCCAAATTGACTCCAACAATTAATTTATTTTACAAAAATGTAAGTGTGCAATTTATATCCAAATTTGTCTGATTTTTGCATGAAATCGGAAGAAAAATCAGTGAAATTTTCAGTTAGAAATGCCCAATACTTTTCTGGTTAAATTGCAATTAACGAAAGGAAATTTGGCAACATTGAAATGTAGTTACGTTCTTTCGTGAGGAAAACGTCGAATTGGGGGTCACATGGCACCCTTGCGCGTTGAGTTAGCAGCTGGATTTAGACACAAAAAGAGGAATCGGGCGTATTTCTGTAAAACGGAACTAAGCGCCAATTTTAGTTCCTTTTCAGGAATTTAGAATGCCGGATAGCGCGTTCTGTCAAACGGAACTGAGCGCCACGGAAAAACATGGCGAGTATAGGACGGAATGAGCCCGACGCCCGGTTCCGCCGCCAATCCAAGCCCCCCTCTACCTTCCTCCCCCTATGGCGCATTGTTCCGTTTGACAGAAATACGTCCAGTTTTAACTTCAGTTCAGAGGATTTTTGTTTTCAAACACGGAAGCATTACGTGAGGATGTTCAAGGACACAAGTACACCACATGAGACTGATCAACTGGACTGCATTTTGCAATTTGGACCTATAAATTCTGGTTTTTCTGAAAAAACACTTATACGTGCATAGGGAAAGTAATGGAATATACGTTGTTCTTAAACCGGGCTAGAATTTATAGTTCCAGATTGCAAAATGTAGTCCAACTAATTAAAGGCAAAGAAAAATTTAGAGCGTAACACTGGCCAAGATTCGTTCAGTCAACGAGGGTGTAATAGAATCCCTTAACGTTGCCGACAAAGTTGACCTATCTTTATGTGGTGCATTTTTAGTGTATAGTATATATAATTATGAATGAAGTCAGAAGCCGAACAACATCTAATGTTTTCTACGTACATATAAGTCGCTTTACAGCACTCCCTCGCGCTCTACGACTCCTAACCTCCACTGCTCTCTGTCAAACCACAAATCTTGGGGGATTGAGCACCTTAACATTTCCGCCTCAATCCCCTCCCTCCAACCTTTCATTGGGCGCCCTCTGCGTCTTCTCCCAGGAGGAACCTAATGTTTTCTAATCTAATGTTTTCTCATCAATTTATATCAGCTTCGTGTTTTTGAAGCGACAGGAAATGTACGATTGGGATTTGCAAACCCAACGTGCAAAGGAAATTCACTTCCAAAAAGAGCACGTATATCGTATAACAGCGCCTGAAGTCCGCCTTCTAACACTTTTTCCCCCCTTTTTTCTTGTTACCGCGCGAGTTCATTCACTTTGAAGCGTATGTTCGGATGAAAACATGCACAGTCAACCGACTCCTGACTTTTCCACAATCCAGCGTCGGAATCCGTTGAAAGCAGAAATGTTCATGGTGGAGTGAGCAAAAAACGCCTTTCGCTACATTACGAGTACTCTTTCAGACAACCCGAAGAAAAAACGGCGTGGGCTCCTGTGACGAAGTCTGCAACTTCGCACACCTTCCATGTAAATTATCAATGTAATCGAATCTAGATGAGGCAGCCTACTTTGATGGAAAACGACAACTTTACTGACATTTAAATGCGCAAAACCTAAGCTGCGTTGCCGCTTTGAGCAAAAATCGCGACTGGATGACGCGTGTCGGTTTGATTGCAGGTGAACCTGCCTTTTTAAAATGGGTGAGAATCTTAGAGTCAAGTTAGACCTGCATGTAAAACGATAGGGTTTCGGTTATCCGCGGTTATCGAGACCGGAGTTACCGCGCGTAAATAATAATAAATCGCGGATATTCCAAAAACTAGGCTTTTTCGCCAGAAATACTGCCGTGCTAAGGAAAAACGCCGTATGAGCCCACAGACGTTGCCAGATTCCCCTCAATAAAAACCTTTTTGAAAATTTGGACACATTGGAACATTTTGGAAATTTTTTGAATGTTTTGATTCAAATTTGTCAGACAATTTTGTTCGCAATTTGATCTAAAATACCTGAAAATTTCAAGGAAAAGTATGAGTAACTTTCTTAAAAAATGCATGATTAATCACAGAAAATTTGGCAACTCTCGAATGTTCATACGGCGTTCTTCCTTAGCACGGCAGGATAGTGATCGAGAAAACTGTACTTCAATAGACTCTATTAATACACCTGTCAATTGTGGACACATGAATACGTTATACCCTAAAAGGGGTAATTTTGGCGAAGATAATTTATGGTAGACTTTTTCACAGATGTTTGCAGCATAGAATTGCACAGTTTCTGGAAAGTGATCTTTTCTATGCGTTTAAAGGAGGTTTATTGCAGGGTTGATTAGCTTGCACTCCCAAATTTGTTTATACTAAATGGAAAAATGCACCGATAAAAACCGCAGATTAGTTGAATCGCAGATACTTAAAGCGCGGATGATCGGCTCCACTGTGAATCGATTTTTTGAGATATAGATCTCCTGAGCAGGGGATTTTTAAATAATTAAAATTGACTCTTAGGACTCTTAAAAGTAGAATCGATTCGTTTCGAAAAGGAGCCGCACATTGAAATTTTGTAATCTTCCGTCGCATTTCTAAGGCGCAATGATACAACTATTTGAACTCTCCGGAATGCGTGAGGGATCAGGCCGCATTTGAAGGCGTTTTCAAAACAGCCAAGTTCCGCTATTCGGATTATTGTTTTGCATAGTTCCTATTATTATGTTTTATTTCCTATCATTTGTTTGTTTTCAATCCTCCTGTAGAAACTACTCATTTGCTGAATAAACTTCTGGCTGGAGCGAATTTCAGCTATGCATTTACCACAGCAAATATGTCAAAGGAAATCGACAAAGCCAGCGTGTATAAGGCTATTTCGACTTTAATCTACCGTCGCATTTCTAAGGCGCGATGATACAACTATTTGAACTCTCCGGAATGCATGAGGTATCACGCCGCATTTGAAGGCGTTTTCAAAACAGCCAAGTTCCGATATCTGGATTATCGTTTTGCATAGTTCATATTCTTTTGTTTTTATTTCTAACCAATTGTTTATTTTTATTCCTCCTATAAAAATTACGTATTTGCTAAATACAATTCTAGCTGGAGCGCACTTCAGCTATGCATTCACCACTGCAAAACTGTCAAAGGAAATCGACAAGCCCAGCGTGCATGAAGGCTATTTCAATTGAGGACACCGCACCAAGAACAGCCTATAACTTGAAACCGCGTTTTGAGAAAAACGCATTTAAAGTTTTGTTTTTGATGGACTGCGCAGACTTTTCTATGCTGATGCTAAGATTAAAATGATAATAGCCTCCATGCACGCTGGGCTTGTCGATTTCCTTTGACACTTTTGCAGTGGTGAATGCATAGCTGTAGTGCGCTCCAGCTAGAATTGTATTTAGCAAATGGGTGGTTTTTATACGAGGATTTAAATAAACAAATGGTACGTAATATAACAAAAGAATATGAACTATGCAAAACGTTCATCCGGGTATCGGAACTTGGCTGTTTTGAAAACGCCTTCAAATGCGGCGTGATACCTCACGCATTCCGGAGAGTTCAAATAGTTGTATCATCGCGCCTTAGAAATGCGACGGAAGATTAAAGTCGAAATAGCCTTATACACGCTGGCTTTGTCGATTTCCTTTGACATTTTTGCTGTGGTAAATGCATAGCTATAATGCGCTCCAGCCAGAAGTTTATTCAGCAAATGAGTAGTTTCTATAGGAAGATTGAAAACAAACAAATGATAGGAAATAAAACATAATAATAGGAACTATGCAAAACAATAATCCGAATAGCGGAACTTGGCTGTTTTGAAAACGCCTTCAAATGCGGCGTGATACCTCACGCATTCCGGAGAGTTCAAATAGTTGTATCATCGCGCCTTAGAAATGCGACGGAAGATTACAATCGAAATAGCCTTATACACGCTGGCTTTATCGATTTCCTTTGACATTTTTGCAGTGGTGAATGCGTAGCTAAAATGCGCTCGAGCCAGAAGTGTATTCAGCAAATAGCAAGAGTTGATTTCTAACCCTCCATCGCCCTCGGCTGCATAAATTGCTCTCTCCGTTGAATTTGGTAGAGAAAACGTATTCATATCGCGGCGCTTTAATTCATAATACGTAAACTTAATATAAATCAATATGTATGTAGTACATATATAAAATTACTCCAAATAAACTTTCTGCTCATTGCTAATGGGCCAGTTGCGCTGGTCATAGAATCGTGTTTTGATGTTTGATTTTTAAAGGTCAGCTAAAAATAATATAATTTGTCCAATCAGCAACTTTCTATGTTCCATATTGACCGAAATATTGCGCTTTGAAAAATTCGATTTATAACTCCATCCACCGCGGCAGTGACACCCTTACTTTCTTCCACCTCACTTTCACCCGAGTTTTACGTTGAGAAACCAGTGGAAATTCGTGTCTTCCTGACAAATGGAAGCAAGGTGGGTGAAACTAACGGTGTCACTGCCGTGGTGGATGACTTCATGAACCGAACGTATAAAGTAGCTTTTGGGACAGATTTCCTTACTTTTAGCTGATCTACAAGAATCGCAAACATCGAAACACGATTGAATCAGTGAGAACGAAAATACACCATAACTCGATAACTCGGATGTGCTACATTTTCATTGAAGACAGTCAGTTTTCATAAAGGTTATTGAAGTTATCACGGAAAAAAAAGTGTTAGGGGTTATCCCCTAAAATTAAAGGTACTACCACAATTTGTTGGATGATACGGGCATTTCTAATTTATTGTGGTAGAACCGCAACTCAAGTTAGGGTAGTGCCGTAACATTTGGGTAGCAACCTAATTTATTCGGGTACGACCACGATAAATTCGTGTTTTACCACAATTAATTCGTGTACTACCACAATTAAATGGAAATGTCCATATCACACGACAAACTCGTGCTTTTTTCATTCGTGTAATCTATTCCATCTTGGATCTTCAAAATGTCCATTACTTCTTGTCTTCCGGCACCAAAAATCTTTTTCTCGGACTAAATTCTTCATCCACTGTCCAGTTTTGTCTTTGTCTTGATTATTTTCGTTTTTCCGCGTTGGTGAGTTTTCGTTCTCACTGATTCGATTATTTGACCGGCGTAACTGACCCATTGATGGAGATTACACTGGTAAAAAAAACCTCTTGGACCAATGCCGCATCGCATTGCATTGACTTAAGAGTGCAGTTTCTTGTCGCCGGATTTAAGAGTCTTGAACTCTTGTTTCAAGCGGATTTTGCATTGATTCAAGCGGATTTTGCATTGAAACAGGAGTCCAGACTCTCAAATCCGGCGACAAGAAACTGCACTCTTGAACCAAGAGGTTTTTTTTGCCAGTGTACCGTACTTCCCATACACTCACATTGATCTTTTTAAATTGTCCATAGATGATTTTCTACGGCAGCTGAAACAGAGATGCTGGCGACACTGTTTGAAACAGAACGGCTACTTCTACGATTGGATCACAAAAGAAAGCCCACCGCTCTCCGACGGTGAGGTGATCGAAGAACAACATTGCGTGTCGGAGCCGCGTCTCGTATGCGTTTGTCGAATGTCGACACCGCTCTCTAACATGATTTCAAGATTGCGCCTTAAACCTAAATCATATCAAGCGAAGAACGGGGGGATAAATAAGACGAAAATCCTCCGTCTTTTCGAGAAGAAGAAAGTGCCGGTTTACAGCACATTGGATTTGCAAATGTTTACCAAGGACAGTTTTAAGGATCATGGCGTGGCGTACAACGAGAGAAGCAAGAGAGAGGTGGACAAGAGGCTGATGGAAGAGGCGAGAATGAGAGCAGAGAGGGAGAAAGCCCAAGCAACCAGACGTGGAAGTTCACCCGAACGCGATGTCCTAGAGGATGAGGATGATGAAGGGCGTAGCTCAAAGGACATATCGTGGAGAGACTTGGAAAGTAGTCCGCTAAGAAGTCCAGGAGGCAGTCCAGGAGGCAGTCCACGGCGAAGCCCACTGAATCGACACGAAAATTCCTTAGTGACGAAGCGATATGATGGAAATAAATAAGTGTAAATGAAAATAATAAAATAAAAAGATAAGAAAATAATGACGACGCACCTCGTATGCTATATTCGTTTAATTTTAGTTGAACATATAGATAGATGGACAACTCGAAAATTTGGAGGTTAGGTTTGATCGGGTCGTGTAAGCTCCTGGGGCCCAAAAGGGGATAGCTAACCTATGAACTCGCATTATCCTGTGGTACTAATTTTCATAAGTCTACTACCCGTCGTTTAATAACTGATCAAAAATTATAAAAGTACGTGTAACACTTTAATTACGCATTAATCTTCTCAGTTTCAATGTCTTGATCCTGTAACGCTTGTTTAGAATGCGCCGTCGGCCCTTTTGATTAATCTTTCAAATGCATAGGTTGGCAGCGACGCTATTCTAGTGATTTTCGTCGTTCTCGTTGTCGCCCTTTTGGGCCCTAAGAGCTACGTAAATCGAGTCGCCCATACTCTTCCTATAAAGGTACTCTAGTTGAACACCACAAAAATCATGTTTCAATCGGTCCGTTTAAAATGGACCGCGTTTAGCACAGTGGAACCAAGCCATACGTCAGCTATTGCCGAGCTTAAGTGGACACTTTAATTTTTTTATAAGAGAACATTTATGCAGATTCCTTTGAAAATTTTAGGGACTTTGCTTCGTACGATGTAAAAAATTCACTTGATTTTGCACAAAAATCCGCACAACCGTTTTCATGTAAAAATTAAAGTGGCCGAATTTAATTTGGCAACAGCCGATGTGGCTTGATTCCTTTTTGCTATGACCGCTCCAAGTATGATTGAGTATGATTTTGACCAGCTTGTAAAAAGGAACCGCTAGTAATCGAAGTTGCCGAGATATGTGAGGTCATGAACCCCACTTGGACGTATTTATGTTAAAAGGAACCAGAGACGCAGAATTCGCAAATCCTTTATGGAATGCAAGAGCTCATTTATCATTGATGAGTTAAAACAAACAGAATTGAAAAATAAGGGGGGAGACCCTAACTGGTTCACCTAAATCTGAGTTGTGTCAATAAAATTTGCAGCGTTTTACTCTCGAAAGCAATTTGTTTTCATCCAATTTACGGTCTGAAGGCCAGTTAGTTACTCAGAAGCTTTCGGCTCAAGGGTTGAAAATTGAACACCTTATATTTTCTTCTTCTCCTTGTTTTTTCTCGCACCCTTTAGAAAATTATTTAAAGCTCATTACCTGCTGTAAGGTTTCCATTATTATTTCGATTTTAGAAATTCCAGAAATAAAATTCGCCTTCAATTCAAGGTTCATGCAACTTTACATGCATAACTGTCTGCACGAATTTGTGTGAAGCTCTATACGTTTTTTCGTCACCTCCTCCCATTCAGTGTTTTGCCCGAGGAGAGGTGCATTTTTCTACAGTGTTAGGTAAATAGTATTTTTTCTTTTTGAGTTTCTGTACAAGGGAGAAAATAAATAAACAATCCAAACTTCAGAATTTAGAGACAAAAAGTTTAACTTTGCAGAAAATCTAAATTATGGTTAATTTCCTTTATTCTTTCTTTAAATAAAATTTATCTCTGATGTTCAATTCGTTGCTCCTCGTGTGTATGGGCATTTCCTCATTTTGAGATTAGTCATTTCGTTTGTACAACTCAACGCTTGTCATGCTTTATGGCCGAATGTTTCCATAGAGTGATTATTGTTGAATTGGGTCTAAAAATCGTAATTTGAGATTGCAACGTTCACTAATAGGGAGATACAGATTGAAATCAAACGTCTATGAAGCCTTTTTTTGTAAACTTACTCCCAAAGTCCGAACGGTTAGATAATCCTGTATATTGAATGTAAATAAACTATATGAAATTAAGAAATAAATGGAATGAAAGAAGCTACAACTAACATCATTTATTAAAACAGAAAATTTGATTAGGAATGAGTATTATAATATTAAAAACAGTACAAATATTGTGGACGAAAGTTCATCGGTAGCGACTACACACAAAAAAAAGGATGCTGACTTTGCATTCTGGATGTAAAAAAGTGAGGAAACAATCCACAAAACGCAGAGTTAACCGCCGCAGCAGCTACTACAGCAATGTCAAGATGTAAAGCTAACTGCTATGGCGGCGGTTAGCTCAGCGTTTTGTGAGTTGCGCACACTTTTTTACATGCAAAATGTTAAGTCGGCATCCTTCTTTTTTCGGTGTGATAATCAAACATTATAAAAAATAAATTTTTTATCCGGGAAAAGAACTTCTTCTAGGGTGCGGGTTTACAGTCCGGAGAAAATATTGGAGAAAGGCATACCAAAATTGGCAGATTTAGTTGACAGCATATTGCTTCCTCACTGAGAAGCTCGTGTCATTGCGTGGTGCCCTAACGGAAGGATCTGAAATGACTGCGTGCCTTCAATTTTTTTATTTTTGCACCCCTATAAGACATCTTTCAGACATGAATTGTTGTTCTACAAATGGACGTACTTCTGCCAAACGGAACTATGTGCATTATGACGTGAGCCCTGTCATGCATATATTCTTAAAGGGTCTCAAAGCTCACGTCTTAATGCACATAACTCCGTTTGGAAAAAGACGTCCAAATCATGGTCAGCGCAACGCGATATCAAAAATATGCAAGAAAAATGCATCCAACACCTGTATGCAACTATTCGTGTCTAGGGGACATCTTTGTAGTATAAACGAAGAATTGAAGGCGCTCTGCTATTTGAGTCCCTGCAGTAAGACCCACCGTTGGCGCCGCGTTGCCTCGCGGTCGAAGTGGTGATGAGTACCCGGACAGTCAAAACGCCTTCACTTCTGGGCGTATGCAACACGGACATCAATGGAGCTCGAATAGTTGCATCCGGGACTTAAAATGCAATCTGTACAGAGTTCGTCGGATTCAACAGTATTTTGAGGGCGCTTTGCGTTTCTCTTACATTGTAACTTAATTCGAGCGTTGCCTTTTGTGCCGATGAAGTCAGAAAAACATTGTTGCCAACTGCAAAAATTGTCACTTGATTCCACCTACGCATTGTTGTTTTCTCGTAATTTACCATCATTTAATGGGTCCAGCTCCAGCTTCCTAGATGGATGCCGTTCATTTTTTCTGATAAAAAGTCTAAAAAAATAAAATAGTAAGGTCGTATATGAAGCAAATGGAGTTCCGGTATCATACTTTTTCGTTATATAAATCTACTGGAGATAAGATGTGCTCTTAAAAGTCATGCAATTTTAAAGGTCTTCACTTTGAAACATTGGTAGAGTCAAAAAGGAAAGTGTCGGGTTTTGACTACCTTGTTTTACTTACCAAGTTACGGGGCAGTCTAGCACACCACTATGGTATTTCCAATTTCTTTTGAACATATTAAATCCTCCAAATAGTAGAGTATTTTAAAAACTTAACGACTTAATTTCATTATATTATCACGTTATCTCTTTCAAGGTATATACAATAAACCCCAAATGTATTTTCGTTTCAATTTTTTTTTAACCCGAAACATACTTTTAGAGATGGAGGGTATAAACAAATGCTCATTTCTCACGGATACTACAAGTCAAGGAATCATTACAGTTGCTGCCGACACAGGTGTTGAGAAGTTTCGAAATGACACCTTCCACGCATTAAGCATACACAATTTTGTTTTAGCTCATTCGCTGCACGTTATGACCATTCTTCCTATTCGCTTCAGACGGTTATAAGAATCTTTGTGCAATGTTTTTGTGTCCAATTTTTTTGGTTCATTTCACATTTTTGTCCAGAGGTTAGTTTGGTCCAAAAGAAAATTTGTCCAACATTTTTAGTCCTCTTTATTACTTTGCCCCATACGTATGTGTCTTAGAGGTTAGACAAAGATAAGAAGGCCCTTCATTCCTTCCTAATCACTATGGTAGCATATCCTTTTGTGAAAAACTGAGGTTAAAATCATAATATTGATATTTGTCTCATTTGTCACCAATACCTCATGTAACCCATTCCTGTTGTGCAATGTTCTTGGTCGAAAAGAAAAACTTTGTATAAAGGACCAAAAAAAGCACCAAAAAAAATGGACTTAAAACGCAGGGCCATTTTATGGATTGGACCAAAAAATATCAGACCAAACTTACTGGACTAAGAGGTGCAAGGCGAAATTTATTGTACTAAAATTCTCTGGATAGAAAAAAAATTGGACGAAAATTCCTGAAAACCTTCAGAACTAATATGCAGAGATATCACTCCCCGTTTTACAACCAGTCAGTTTGGTTTCAGCAAAATAAAATCTCATTTCATTGAATAAAGTTTGAAATTCCATTTTATAAAAGTTCATTAAATTTTGTAAGTATCTCAGGGTTACTACGACCACGAGGAGGGGGGATTAGCAATTCCCCTTCCCTCCTTTTTAAATTTGAGACATTCCTGGCTCAACAATATCAATTTTAAGGGCTTCTTTAAAAACATTTCATGAAATCCTTTCTTTCATTGTACAATCTCGAAATTGAAGTATGCGCAAAGTGACGTTCCTACAACATTGGTTGTCACAAATGTACCGAGAATTAATAAAAGTTAGGACTTACTGAGTGATTTTAGTCATGAGAATTTCCCTCAAATTGTTCGCTGGAGCCTCGAAGATTAAATATAACAAAAGAGAGCCAGCAAATACGACTATTATGTCACCAGCGAGCATCCATACCTGAAACATAAACGTCGCATCCTTCATTTTATAATTAGTAATGAAACATGCATATAAAATCGAGTGATGGAACTTGATTGATAAAGTGACCTCAAAATGTAGGAAATTTCCTCCCCAAACATAATTTCCTTAGTTGGTTGACATCATTGTGGAAAATAACGCTCTCTCTTCAGGCTCACTCTAAAGCAATTTCCAATTGCGAATTTTTCAAATCTGAAATACGAGTGAAAATGTAACTGCTCGTGCATCAAATATCAGGCAATGTTATCTCGTTTGCGGTAATTCACGTTTTAGCTTTCGTTCTAGTTTTGACAAAATTTGACAAGCAATCATCTAGCAATAGACCTGAAGATGGGGTAATAGGCTCCAGAACGAGCATTGTCGAGTAAATCATGCAAAGTTTAAAAAAAGACAATATTAGGACCTATAAAAAAACAGGTCTGTTACGCTCAGATAAGAAATAAGCACGGAGACATAGAAAAGTTGGTACTTTAAACCCTTGTCAATTAAATAAACATGAATATAATCTTCCCTGAAAAAAAAAAATGTCGCTAAAAGTAAGACAGATGATTTAATGGACCTATTTCATCGCAGGCAAAGTGACAATTGCGGGGACTTAAATACAAGAATGGAAAAGTTAACATTTAAAATCCTAGACAATAGCATTGTCATAAATCGCATGCTCCTTCAAATAAAATCTCGCAAATTTTATTAAACAAATCATTTGATGATTCTACCTCACCCTGGGCAAGTTAGATTTTGAGATTCAATTTGTGACCGACATTCCCATTATCCGAATAGGATTCTGATTGTTGTAATGAGAAACACATTTTTTTCTAAAACATTTTTCCTTGCATTCAGCACACATTACAATTATAAATAAAAACATGAGAATAACGCATGACGCGTAAATCGATCCTGAGGTACGTACTTCTCTCAAGGCAGAGGGGTGGACCTCGAAACAGTGAGGGGCGTACTGGCGTACCCCCCAATAAATACGAAAGGGAGATGATAGGTTTTTGACTTACGATGCGACCCTCCGACAAATAGAGCGGCGTTCGTGAGCTGAGCGTCGTTGCTATCTGCCAAATAGGATGAAATAAATACGTTACGTACGTCAGTCGGCTAAGAGGGACGTAGACTTTGAGAGTTAACAGCTTGTCCAAAGTTTCGCCTGCAAAAAAAGGATCGGCTGTGCGATTAAAAAACACTCTAATCACTGAGAAGTTTAAGGGATGAAGGTATCACGTAGTTTCCAAAATAAGGGTATCATTTTATAAATATCTTTTCTCGACAGAAGGTTTTTTACAAAATGCTTGTAAACGGTGAAATGACTTCTTGATGAGGAAAATTAAAAAAAAAAAAAAAAAAAAAAAAAAAAAAAAAAAAAGACTTGAGTTCAGGATCAAACTGGGCAAAACCGCGATGCAAAAGTTATCATTCTAAAAGAAATTCAGCAAATGAATGTTTCAAATAAGGAGTTCATAAACTTGCATGTGAACTATAAAATCAGTTGCAACTATGACGTTCAACCACCTTGAGATAATGATATCGACGGCTTAAGTGCGAGACCACGTATCCAAGTCTGCGACTTTGAAGACTTCTAGACATACTTTCTAGTCATACTCGGAAAACTAGTCAACGTCATTTCTTGAAAACTCCTCTGATTTTTCTTCTCTGTCAGTAGAATATCATGTAAAAATTTCAGATTAGCCACCAGCCAGCCAGGTTGGCCTAGCGGGCAGCGCAGCGGGTCTAACTCTAGACCAGTAGGTCCCGGGTTCGAATCCCGGTGGTAGCAACACATTTTCAAGGAACTGACGAGTGGATCTGCAACTCTACACGGCCTTAATCCGTGAAAATTTGAATGTCTGGGGCATAAATGCATGATAAATCTAATCCGAAACTCATTCAAGGTTGTAGAATCCTCAAATTGACCAAAACCAACCTAAAGTTGACTAAAGTTTAACTAAAGTTGACATGTTCCTTTTCGGAAGTATATCATAAGAGCGGAGATTTTGAAACAGCGCAATGGTGGTATCGCACTTTAGATATCGATGTGATATTAAACCCTCCCTTGTCCTTTATGCCAGTTTAAGTATGCTATGTAGACATTTCAATGCACCCGAAAAATAAATGTTTGATAATCAAATACGCATTTGTAAAATCAGTTTTTTTTTGCTATGGTGTTCCATGATATTACCTATTCATGAACGATTTCAGAATACAAAATTGAAGCTGCAATTTCAATGAATTTGACTTCCGTGATGACTTACCAAGACCCCATGTGACTTGAATCACAATTAGAGCACAGATCATGATACTCCATAGTGAGCGATGCAAGGCTCCAAATAAAGCGTTCTGGAATGCGCTGTACTCCAGAGTCTCGTCGTAGAGTGCGAATCCATAAAATTGCGAGCCTACTCCTACAGCTGTTGCCATAAGCACAATCGACCATTTCCATGCCTGCCAACAAAATTTGCACCAAGTAATTGCATTTCTGGGGCATGTGCTCCACATTTTTTTAGGCCTTCGTTTTCGATGCTCACCCCTCACCTCTCCCTCCCAAAACGCATGGCGGCTTTATGGGCATACATCAAAGGCAGCACCCTGACCTGTCTGGCCTGTAAAACTTTTTGAATTTATGAGCTTCACTAAACTCAAAATTTAACCTTCCCCCTCAACCCTTTTGTATTTTCACTGATGTAACCTTGATTTCCACGTAAACACACATAGGTGTAAATTGCCTTAGATGCTAAAGCACAGCTTTAAAATAAACGTATCTTACTTACTTACTCACTTACTTTCTCACAACGTTTTTTTCCCTACCCCTTACCTTCTCTTCAAAATTTACTTCTGAATACTCATCCTGTGAAACTTTTTGAATTTATTCGCTCCACTAATCTCAAAATTTAACCTTTCCCCTCAACCCTTTTGTATTTTTACTGATATTTCCATGTAAATTTATTACTGTTACTGCCCTCTTTAGAGGTGTAAATGGCCTTAGATGCTAAAGCACCGCTTTAAAATAAAATTATTTTACTACTACTACTACTCACTAACTTACTTCCTTGCTTACTTTCTATATTACCACTACTTACTTATTTACTTAGTTACTTAGTTATTTACTTACTTACTTACTTACTTACTTACTTTACTATTAAAAAAAAACCCAAAAAATACTTACAACTGACAGGATATAGTTGTTCGCACGAATTTTAAATAATAGAAAAGCGGACAGAATACTTATAAAATATGGTCCAGCCCTCATGTAGCTTCTAATGTAAACTTGAAAGTAGTAGTCGACGTTAAACCATAGAGGATATCGTCTGCAAATCAAATTATGGTGAATTAGATGCTATGCAAGTTGAGAAACTATGAAATCGTTGATGTAGTACCAGACGCTGCCATTTCATGACTAATGAGACTAGATACACAATCTTGGAGTCTTTTTGAAGTATGATGCTAAACTATAATTGAAGAACGGTAAGTCAAAACTTGGGAAGCTTCATCAGGTGTTGCCAAGATTGTGCAACTAATTCTGTCATTTAATGGCGTCCATGAAGCTACCGTTATCTTTGTCATCAAAAATAGTTGCAACCATTGGGTAAAAACTTGTGATTCCTCTGTGATACAAGAGGACAAATCTTACAAGACTTAGCATCATTTATAATGAAAAAAAAACCAGATTTTAGGACTTTAATGCCAAATTACCGATTATTATTATTATATCAATTGATCGGTCAATTTATCTGACCTTTTACATCTAAAGCTACAGGAATTTGCAAAAATGTATTAATGTGAACAATTAAATTTTTAGTCGTTTTTGCCAGGATGAAAAAAAGAGGGTTTGGTTCCAACACTCGGATGTCGGGGAGCATTCACCGTATGGACCTTTTGAATTCGTTGCTGTCAAAATTCAGACAGTCCCGAATGCATCAAATCTTTCGAATCCTGGTGGCTGGCGTAAACCTAAACGTGTGTAGAGATGTTAGCTCCGTGTTGCATATGCATACGCGTAATGTTACGTAATGTTGCATACGCTTCTAATTAAACGAATTGCAATATCCGATTGCTGTCTATTGTGATTTGCAATTACCGTCAAAACACTGTCTGTATACAGTATTTAATTTTTGCACCAATGACATCATGGCTCATGCTTTAGGCTCAACTTTTAGTTTGATCTTATGACAGATGCTTATGTCAACATGTTCTTTCACCGATCATCCATGCAGAAGAAAACATCATTGCGACCGTTCTGAAAATGAAATCCTTTTTCAGGGAGCATTTACATGCCTGAAATAGTTTAATTTATCAAAATTTTTGGGAAAATTTGCTTTAATTTTCAAAATGAAAAGAATTATGCAACTAAACAAACAGTTTTTCTTTACCTTGGGTCCAGTTTAAAAACTGCGTCCACTTGTTGGAAGTAGATTATGAAAAACGGAATCGCAAGTGCACTCACAAGGACTGCCAGAGCGAATTTAAGACCCTGGTTCTTCGTGAACAGGTAAACGATCAGGAGACCTACAGGAAACATCTGCAACTCGCAGGCTATGTACCATGTATGAGGAGCGCATAGCCAACCATTCCGCACATTATAATTCTGTTAGAAAAAACGTACGGCCTTGAGAACTTTTCTTGCAAAAAACAGTTGAATTTTAAAATCATTTAAAAAATTTAACACTGGGTTTTTCTTCGGAAAAATACAATTTCAAATCTCTTTCCCTCGGCTCCCACTTAATGCGATTTTGTTCTATTTTCATTCAGAGCTAAATAGATGCAAGGACACTTTTTGATAAAACTGTTATACCGATAAACAGTGTTTTTCGAGCCGCATTTTGATAAATACAAATAAATCGACAAAAAAATTTTTGAGATTTTCGGAGGAAATTTCCCTTTAAAAATGTTGGAAATTTTCAAATAATGGACTGATGCCATAGAAAAATGGATTCTTTGGAGGGTCTGAATCGAAACCTTGATAATCTGCCGCTTTTCACATTTACTGTGTCCTTTAAATAAATTTTTATAGTTAAAAATATGAAGGTTATTATCAAACGAGAAAATCTGCAGATATGGGCGAATCATTGAGGTTTAAATGGTTATAGGCTCAGAAGGGTTACACATCCATTCTCCCCTCAAGTGAATCCAACTATAAGATTAACTTCGACTTTTTAAATTATCAGGTCTAATATTACTAATCCTGGGCTGTAATTTCAGCTTAAGCTGAAACCATTCCATGTTAAAAAAAAAAAAAAAAAAAAAAAAAAAAAAAAAAAAAAAAAAAAAAAAAGGTGTTGTTCTCTGCAGTTCTCCAAATGTTAGGAAAAGTGATGTTATCCATTCCTATCTGCTCTCACTGTTAAAAATCCCGGCGCGAAATTCACGCTCACTCAGTTGCTATTTTGACCACCTCTTACTCTGAGTGCATGGATTCAGCGCGAAATAAGTTCGGCGCGAATTTCGCGCCCTGCCGGGAGTGAAAACCTGACAGGGCAAACGTAAAACGGAACTGCCGCAGCATGGATTTGAACACGAGTCGCGGCGGTGATAGACCAAAGATTACTAAGGACTCCAGATACCGCATTGGAATAAAAAACGGCCCCCTAGTCCCCTGCAGCTCCAGGGTAGGCAACCTGTTTAGCGGTATGCCATACTTGGAGCTAACGAATTTGCCGTGTGTTTGACCGGTTTCGTCGTGCTGTGCTAAGTTTGGTTAAAGATTCACTGTATTAAATTTTCTTATGTTTTAAATCGTTAAAAAATGCCAAAAAATGCCGAAAAAACCAAAAAAAAAAAAAATTTAATGCAAATATCTCTGCTCAATTTTCTGAGTCAATTTACCATGACTAGTGTCTAAGATGAACAATTTTCGCAATTTGCCGTTCATAATCTGCACATTCGAAGTGCAATTTCACATGCCCTTCCATTAAGGTGGGCTAAAGTATGGCATACCGCTACACAGGTTGCCTACCCTGGCACTGCAGGCGACTGGGGAGCCGCTTCTTTCCTACGGCAAGTATACGGCGTGCGGTATTTGGAGTCCTTAGTAATCTTTGTGATAGACGAGTTCGATACCACTTTGCCATTCGGCACTTGTACCAAGGGAGCCTGGATTCACGCTATTTGAGGTACCTCAAATAATTCGTCCGTCGTTGGTGATATTTACGCTCTGATCTATTCTCTCAGAGCACTGCACGAAATTCGCGCTGGATTTTTTTTTCACGCCGGCTATTCACTAAGAGTAAATCATTGTTTTTTAACAGTGTATATATAAAAAACTTACTGCCGGATCATCGATAGAGTACAAACTGTTGATGGTAAGTAGGTAGTGCCACCAAGTATTTTGGCAGCTCTCGGCAATTGGGTGGCTGAAAAACTTCCATGCAGGACCATCACTCATGTATGGGAAAAGCAAACCAGTGACCGCGACGAGCATCATAAATGAGGGCATGAGTCTGTGAATATTCATTGAAGACTCATCGTCAATAGTGTATTGAATTGTTTATGAATTTAAAATGAAGCAAGCTGATCTTATTTTCTTCCTCTGCTAGACTAGTTGTTGGTGTCGTCTTTCATTAAAGCAACGATGGACGGAAATATAACCATCATGCTTTATAACTCAAAAATTAAATATATTTTAGCTGGCAGCGCACTACCCTCATATCGGGTCGACCTATGTCTTGTGAGATACACGAAACCTCTATGGGGTTGGTGACAGTCGGCTAAAGTTTGGTATATTTTTGCAGATTCTTTATCTCCACAAGACACAAAAAAAAAATAAATAAATTAAAAAAAACAAGCAGTGAACTCCAACACAATGTGTTGATAAGGCGCGTCATTAACTCGCACATATCAACCCCTTTAGTTTTTATTTACAGAGATTTCAAAATAGGCAAGTAGCACAAAAAGAAAATTCATACGATCCAACACTTCAACGACGCACTTTGACGAGACCGTATATTGTGAATGTAGAAGGCTATTCGAACGAATTTAAGTTTTTTGATCTGCCTGAAGCAAACTCTTATCAGATTCTTGAAGAAAAGTGCTGCGGAATAATTACAGCGAAGAAAGGAAAAATTCTGTCGAACTCCTAGAAGATAAAGTCGATTTAAAGGTATTTTGGGGCTAAAATACCCAAATCACCGGCATTATAAATTCCATTATATTTTTGAAAAGAAATTGACTCGATATAAATGCAATTGCTTTAAATATGTCTTGATTTTGTTACTTTAAACGTCTTTCCATGCAAAGCAGTTCAACCATGTCTATGCTTTATTCATTCATGAATTGAAAGTAAGAAATCTACATCCCGAAAATCTACCGATTTGCCGTAAAATATCGCAGAAACTTGATATACCAGGTCGATGTACCCACTCGTTGAATTTACGAATCCATTTCGTGAGTGCACATATGTAAAAGTCAATATGCTATAGTCATTTTGGGTGCCTTTATTTTTCAAGAAACAATTACAAGTAATTTCAATCCCGAAGAACTATCAATTTTCCGTATAAAATCGAAAAAAATCAAAATATGTCCACTCCCTGACGTGAAAATTAGATTCTACGTGTGAAAATGCTTATGCATCGATATGCTGAACAGAATCCATGCATCTCAAAATTTTTCTCAGAGCAAAGGTTTGTGTTATATTATCAGCTTCCCTTTAAACCCCGGTTCGATGACCGAATCGGCTGCCCAAAAAGCAAGCCATTTTTGAAGGGTTCTATGAGAAATTCGTGATATTATCGGCTCTCAGGAAATCACCTCATGGCTAAAACTGGTGGTATAAATGTTTGAGTGCCTAAAATAATCGTATTTAAGAAACTAAAAAATTAAACTATGGAGTCAATTTCTTTTTAATAATATAACGGGATTTACTACGGGTGATTTAGCTATTAGTCCCAGAATACTTTTAAAGCGCCTTTACGTTCCCGAATCTCGACGGATTTTTTTTGCTTAAACGACTCAAGAGACACTGTAGTTAAAAATATGGAAAATTTTCGATTTGGATATATAAAACATGTTTAACTCGTTGAGGTACACTGTGTTTTGTATGGAGTACTGTTGCTATTCGACCTTTGTCTTCAGGTCAAAATTCTTACAAGGAAGCCCCTTGCAAGAGGCGAATTTTTTGTAATTACTCCCAATATTTTCTCCGTTATATCATCGAACTGCTTGTCAAATTCTGAGGTCAATTTTATCTAATTGTAATTTATACATTTCTTTTTTCCCCCTTCATTTCATTTTTTGTTTGGAGAATTCGAGGTTTTGTTGATTTCTTCAGATTTCGAATACTGTAACTTCTCTTCTATTCGGCCGATTTTTATGAATGAGACCTCTTTTAATTCGTGTTTTAACGGAGAGTAAGAAAAAAATTGCCAAGTACACGCGAAACAATTTTTTTGAAAATTGGACGAATCCTAGCGTGACGGTGAAATGGTTAATAAAGCGTAATTAATAGGGTCGGGTTCTCGGCGCGCGGCGACCGCCTTTTTCTGGCAGGCCATTGTCGCCGACGCAGGGGCTAGGCGCGTGGGGAAGAGAGGGGTAGGTAGATTTTTATAAGTGCAAGTGGCTTCCTGTATGAACCACGTTTAGCAAATAGTCTAATGAGTCTCGAGGCTCATCACAGATTGCACTTACGGCTATCACTTACGGCCGTGGCTATCAGAGCAGGGGTACCAAATTTTGAAAAGCGTGACAGGGTAGTGGAGATCTGTCAAAGCAACGTTTTGAACGAAACGGAGTGAGTGAAATTCTCATTCAAGGAGTGCCGAACTGGTCAGCCATCCTCTAATCAGTTCGCTTGCTTCCGCTTATTTATGCATATTTTAAATCAGCGCGTCGCATTCTTAGGGTTTTTTTTAAAAAAACAAGTAACGTAGACTCTTGGTATTCACTGCACATAAACTAGAGTGCCCCAGAATGAGAAACAACTTTAAATCATAATTATTGACGGATAAATAAACTTTTTACACGCTTTGGAAAATCTCAGAAGTTCGCGGTAGTCACTTTTCGGTAAGGAACTAAGGGACTCGGTTATTGTATCGAGTGGGGGGTTGAAACGATCGCAAAGGCGGTATACTACGTATACGCGCCAAAAAAAAAAATTATATAAACCGAAGAGCCCGTCAAGAACAAACCCTTTTTTGTAAGCGTGGTGATTTTCTTGAAACCTATGCCTGGTTAAACTTCATGATAAAAAGTCCTCCTATGAAAGTTCCAGTTTGAGTTTAAAGCTCGTTTAGGCAATACAACGCTGCAAAATTTCCATGTTTTACCTTGAAAAGTGCTATTCTGAGTCACGCGTGCCATTCCTGGCTGCCACCTCGCAAGTTGGTCGCGACAGCAAAACGTCGAGTGAGGATCTAGACGTTGCCAATTTTTTAAGATAAAGTATTATTTTCTCAGGAAGTCATGATTATATTCTCTCGAAGTTTTCAGGATCATTGGATTAAATTTCGAGGAAAATTTCTGAAATTTTAAAAATTCAGAGTACGTGAGTTTTCCTGGAAATTCGTAGTTACTCGGAGGAAATTTGCAACCGCGCTTGGAGATTCGTGCGAAGTTTTTCCTTAACGCTTCAGTATTGATACTCGAGCAGAGCAGAATGATATAGGTAATAACGCCTTGATGCAGATATTCGTGCTCTAAGGACACCCTTGTTGCGTACTAAAAATTGAAGGCGCTCTGGTTATTCTAGCCCATGAAGCATTGCTCGCGGCAACACGCTGTCAACACTCGGTGAGGCGGTGAAATATATCTGGATGTGTGACTATGGTACGAACATATTCTTTCCATGTCCTCTCTCATTGATTTTTATGTAAGACTTGCATATTGCCACTTATTTCATTCTGGTGCAGTGGATCAAGTCAATTAGAGAGGTCGGACATAAAATTATTGACTACTATTGCAAATTTTGAGGTTTTTTCCGTCATATTTTAAATTATAAGAGGTGCTCCGGCCTACAGAAGCAAAATTCATGAGGAAACCAATGGGACCACTTTTAAAACCTCAATGTTTTGTATAGACGGAGTTATAAGCTTTTAATGTTTCCAAATTATGTCCGACCTTTCCTATTGAATCGATCTACTCGGTGACGCACCACGCCACACACTGCCGCATGCGCTGCTTCATGGACTTGAGTGACCAGAGCGCCTTCAATATTTTCATACTCAACCCGTCCGCCTGGGGAGTAGAAATAGTTGTATCTAATCAACATGACTTTATGACATTGGTCATATTGACTGAGGTACTCGGAATAGCATGAAAGTCTCTGCCACTACTTGTCCTGCCCAAAATTTCCACAAAATTGATTTTAAAAATGAGCCCATTTAAAATGTAATTATTTTAAAGTTGTTTTATGAGCAAATCACCCTCATTTTAACCAGTGGCGTGGCGTGTATTACGATACATCGCGATTGATCCGCCATTCAAACCTATGGGAAAAGATCGATAAACAGAGTATTCGAAACGAATGCCTTAATAGCCGATTATTTACCACAGCTTCAAACGGGGAAATATCGATAATAATCGATTCTTCACGCCCCGCCACTGATTTTAACAGCCACGGAGGGCGAGAGGCAGTGCGCTTTCTCTTGCTTGATAAAGAAAACAGCAACTCATTTCTAGTCATGGTTCATTTTTTTCTGCAGGAGTGTTTGACGTAATTTTCAAAATTAAATATCATGCAGTTGTGTCGCTCTGCACTCATCTGGCGGCGAGTTCAGAAGTTGATAGAATACCAGGTTAACTCGAATTAAAGTGTTTTTGTCATTACCTGAGCCACCGATTGAATATCCAGAGAGGAATCATTTTTAAGCCCTGTTTTCTCACTGGCTCATAGTAGCTTTGAAAAGTGAGAAATCCTGAGACGATGAAGAAAGAGTCAACTATCAGTGTTGGCATGAAGAGGGGTAGGTCTTTTTTCACTTGCTGTAGGAAGAAAAGTATTGTATTGATTCAGTGCACCTTTCAAAATTTAGACTTATTTTATCAACAGAAAAGATGACGAATGAAATATCAGTAAAAATAAATGAAAGGGGAGGGGGAATACACGTGGGCTCCGGAATCAGATTTTTTACCAGGCAACGATAGATTTCTAGAAGCGACAATTTTTGGTGTAGTTACTCATAGATTTGAATGAGGAAACGTCCAGTAAGATGGACAATAATGTACTTTAACAAGCACGGTAAAATATCCTCATTTTGAGCTCCATTGTAAATATTAACATGCTCTGGTGTCTTTTATCACTTGCTGTAGAAAGGAGAAAAATTGTATTGAGATCGGTGCCTATTTTTGTATTCAAATTAACTCATTATTTCAAAACTAGCGAAATGCCCGTGACTGGAGTCACGGGTCTAGAGGTCGCTAAAATATCTACAACCCCGAAAAAATGGTGGTAGGGGAGCAAGACATGCCATACAAAAATAATGATAAAATCGATAGAAAAATGAGTTGTGGGGAGAGGGTGATGGAGCTAGAAAAATTAGCTCCGGGTGGGGGGGGGAGGTAGAATTAATGCTGACAAAAAAATTAGAACTAACCTAGCAATGATTTATTAAAAAAAGAAAGAAAAAAAAATGAAAAAAAAGAAAAAAAAAGTTGAAATAAAACATCAGCTGATAGCAAACAAAGGTTGCGAAGGAAACCAAGGAATGGAACTTTCATAAAACAGTTTAGTGGAAAACAGCGTAAGAAGGGCACTTACGTTAATTACCGTTTATAAGTAAACGGTAGATGCGATTTAACCGAAAATTTATACAGTTCTTCATAAGACCAAATGGACAAAATTGCAAAATTTGAAGAAGCTAACGTACATCTAACGATAGTTATCGTGAACGAAAGAATTGCTGACATAGGTCGGGCAACTATTATAGGTGGGATGGGATGGGACGGGATGTGGGATTGCTGATGAAACATTAGTGAGGTACATAACTTGTCGTGGGAAAAATTCATGTGACCTCCGAGACTTGATTTTATACCACGAAAAGAAGGGATAAAGCGGCAGACTTGGAGAACGGCAACGAGTATTAACTAGTAACGGTTTTTAAATTTAAATAACAAAACTTTCAAGAGGTAAAAGACGGTGTAGCAAGACGTTGGGTAAAATATGTTCTATTGCAAATGTTAGCATTCTCTGGTGGTGCTCACTGCTTCTGCTATTTAGGTGTGCAATATCGCCATTTTAGATGGTTCACATAATTTTATGTAGATTTCATGAGGTAAAGCTTTTAACCGTCCCCCTCTTCCCAGGGAACTAGAGTCCCTTTATACCCAGAGTTAAGACAACTGGATTATCAGCTGACTGGCAGCCGGCCTTGGCTGGCCATGGAGGCCGAAACGAGTGCACCCGAGCGAACGATATTGAGGGATAAGGATCAGGAATCCTGCGATGTCTGTCACACAAAAACAACAACATCAACAAATTGATCAATTAAAAAGAAAATGAGATTGGTTTGTGAATAATTTCTTAATCTATTTTCATTTTGGACCGATGGAAATAACAATTTACTCTTGATAAACCACAATTAGATAATATTTTCATTATTCTTGTTCATATTCGAGGTACCGCCATCTTGGTGCACTCGTTTCGGCCTCAATGAGCGAGAACCAATCAGAATTGGATTTTTTTTTAGGCCACTTTCAGCCGAACCAAAAGTGAGTTGTCTTAACTCTGGGTATAAAGGGACCCTACAGGGAACTAGTGCTCAAGTGCTCTCTAGAAACAACGTGTAAATCACGGCCGTCGGTCGGGCAAAAAACAACATCGATGGGTCAAAGTCGCTCACGTGTAAATGCGTAGAACTAAGAAGGGTTGCAATGAGCAGGAAGATGGGCGAGATTAAGAACGAGAGGCATTTTATGAGAAGTTAGGTTTTTGAAAAAGGAAATGTGTGGTTTTTATGGTCAGACGTGTTGTCAAACTTTTTGTATACATACCGATTCGAAGAAAGAGACATTGAAAACCATGTAGAAAGGAATACTGGCAAGTCGGTGCCCAAGAATAACCCCGAACGCCGCGGTAACTTTAAACATATCCAAGATAACCATGTGTTCGTCGTTTGTTTTGGGGACTATTTTCCCGAGGTTTGTAGCCATGGAGAAGCTCATTATTATCCTGTCCAAGAAAGCACCTGTAAAATCAAAGAAGAAGAAAATATAAGCTAGAAATGTGATCAAAATATTTATAAACTACCCTTTAAGAGAAGCAGACTTTGAATTTTGTCGAGGCTGCTTTCTTCTTTAGTACTCGTGTATTTTATAATTAATTTCACTTCATTTCCTATCAAAACGTCCAAGAATGTATAATCTCTCTGAATCATAGTATTATAACACGCTAAATCTTTTCTGTATAAAAAGATGAAAGTTTCGCATAATGCATAACGGGATCTAACGCTGGACGTGTCTGGTACTCCTCCCTTGACACCCCCCTCCCCGCCCTGCTCCTTCTGCGCATTTTTTCAGTGAGTCTTCAGATCATCTTCATAAAATTTTTTCCATTCTCATGGTTGAGTATCATTATTATTGACTCCCTCGATAATCCCGAGTATTTATTTCACCGTGAATCACTCTTTATGAAAATGTTCGCCTTCTTATTGTAAAATACGAGTATTATTGATTTCTTCAATTATTTCAAGGATATAAACTATTAATTTTTATATTCCATCCCCCTCATAGTTTGAAAAATCGCCTTCAATCATCGATAGAATATAGTCTTTAGTTGAGCCCTCTCTATTCAAATTAACCCACGAGGGGTCCGCGAAGCGGACCTTGGGAGGCACGAAGCGCTCCCTGGGGGTTGAGCCGCGCAGCGGCCAGGAGGTGAAGCCCCCTAGAAATTCTGAAATCGAGAGCGATTCGATACCGTGATGACTGGATCAGAATGAGAAATTTTCGAAAGTCGGGAGTTTGGAGAGTTTGGGCAGAGTTTGAAAAAAACGCATCAAGTCGTGTTTTGGAAAAATGAATCGGGAATAAAAGTATTGAATTTAACCGTCATAAAATTTCTTTTGTCAACAACTCAATATTAGAAAAAAAATCTTTCGACCGTGAAAAAAGTCTTTACGCCGTATGTCCAACATTGCGTCTTACGGATGAATGAAAGCTCAAACCACTTATTTTTGCTTCAAAAATGCATCTTGGAACGTTTTTGTTAAACTTGATCAAATTTAAGGAGATGAATCCTAGCGGGATGATTATATTGACATTGATGGGCAACGAAAAAATGGAGCGACTCTATTCTTGGATGCGGGTGATTGCAATGGACAAAAGGAAGTAAGTAATCTAACGGTAATCCTCGTGGAACTCCCACAGTTAGTCCATCGTTTTCCCCCTTTTACTCCAAAAAACCACCCGTCTCAAGCAATAATATGATCGCTTTACTTTACTTCGAACTTCTTTGTCTATCTCTTTGTCTATAAATTTCAATAATTGACCACAGAGAAAAGTTAGATATAAAAAAGAAAAAGAAATATGTTACCTTTTTTGTGGGACTCTAAGATCGTATTCCATCGAGACAATTGATAGAGTGTACCCAGAAGACTAAATGCGCTCAAAATCAAGAGAATGCATCTAATTTTATATTGAAAAGGAAAAAAAGGAGGCATTACAATTTTCAAAGAAATTCAGTGAAAATAGGAGAAAGATACTTGCAAGTACATATTACAAGTACAGTTTATCCGAATTTATCAGTTCTAAACAACTGGAACTAATTTTACCCTGAGAGAATCTACTTCATAAGTATTTAACAAGCCGTTTTCACAGCGCTCTCTGGCGATCTTCGATGCCTAACCACCACACTGCCGTGCTAAGGAAGAACGCCGTATAATTATTCGAGAGTTGCCAAGTTTCCTCCGATAAAAACCGAATTTTCTGGAAAAATTGCCGATATTATTTTCCAAAATTTTTAGACAATTTTGTACGCAATTTAATCTAAAATATCTGAAAATTTCAAGGAAAAATATGCACAAATGTTCTCAAAGAAACATGTTTTATCAAAGAAAATTTGGCAACTCTCGAAGGTCCATACGGCGTTCTTCCTTAGCATGGCAGCACAGCCCTCTGTCCTCCAAAAACCCCCCTACCTAATAGATGACTTCATCATTTCTAGGTAAACGCCTAGTTTTCTCCCCCAGCGCAGCGGGCCGACTATTGAAATGGATGAACTACGCTATAGACAAAAGAAGACAAAAGGGGTATGGTGGGATCCTATTGGTGGAAGCGGGTGGTTGTAATGGACAAAAGAGATAAGTAATAGACTGCGACTAATGGCAACCGGCAAGAGACCAGTTAAACAGGCAGACCGGCAGAGATAGTTAGTCCAACATTTTCCCCCTCAGTCTGCAAGAACCTCTAGTTGCAACCAATAGGATCGCTCCATACTCCCTATATCCACTTTGTCTATACATCGCTTTGTGTATCAATTTCAATGATCAGCACGCAGCGCAGAACTTCTCTTCTGTCTCTTCCAAGATTAAGCAAAATCAGGAATCTCTCACCATTCTTTTTTCCTAGTCTCTAAGATTTTAAATGTGTTTTATCTCCTGCTACTTCGTTATTTTTTTTTAAATTCTTCTTGCTCATTTTGCGTGAACTGAAACCGGATATCTTCAAAGGGATTGATAGCCGGGTAAAATAGAATAAGAAGAAGAACAACGACAGCGTGACTTACAATAGACTTTTGGCGGCAAAGGACATCGGCTCGTCGTCCAAACTGGAGGTGCAAAGGTCGTCGTGCATTTGGATTTTGACGTTGATGCCGTGCTCCTCCGTCACGTTGGCGAACGTCGCGTTTAGCGTCTCTTCAACGTCTTGACGTGAACACGCCCCCGGTACGCAGAGCGCCATAAACAGGTCGGTCCGGTTCATCCGAAACCAGTTGCTGTTCGGCTGTAACAATTCAGGGGCCTATGGTTCGAAAGCCAATCCAAAGCTTATCTGATCAGGGATTGTAAGCGTGAAACTATTTTTTCAGTCTTTAAACGATCAAAATCCACCAACGACCGGTTTAAAACACTCATTGCAAAAATACGTATCTCGTAATGAAGTGTCAATTCTTAGTGCCAAAAACGTGAATCTCGGTATTTCTGCCGTATTTTCTTACAGTTTGAGAAATTATTCAAAATGCTGATGGAGTCTAAAAAAGCATCTTACTCTTGCTACGTATCCTCGAGCAGATTAATTAATTCCACACTATGGTGATTCTTATAGATTTTTTAACACTGTTTATCATTAAAGCCTTTCATTTGAAGTCCCACCGGCCTATCTTCTAAGGAGCGAACTACACCTTATAAATTTTCAACTTTTCTTAACCTCCTCCCTGAAAATGGAGACATTTTTTTCCAACCACTAAAACCAGGAAGAAAAACTAAGCATAATGCAACAAATAGGACTCCTCTGCAGCATATTTGATCTCAGTCTCGGACTGCTGTAACGGACTAGTCTCGTGATTCCGATCAGGCCAGCCTTGACGATGACGTCGCATAAAAACAGTGACAATTACATGTTTCAAATTACATAATAAAACATTGCAACTCGTTGCTTTTTGAATGCGAGATTCATAAGTCGTAAAAATCCAATATTTACGCACAGTACACGCCAAAATCATGTCTTCGCCATTGGCTTAACTGCGTCTAATTCCGCAGTCAGTATCTTTGAATTTTACCTTCAACGTGTCCCAAGCATTGGCGTCTGGAGGTGGCTCTACTGTTCTCAGTGGTTCGGTGTAAAACGCAGGGTACTTCGCCGGAGAGGGAGAGACTTTTAGGTACGCCAAGCAGTAGCGACCCGCCAGTTTAGCGTGCTTGATAGCGACACATTCGTCATAATGACCCAAGTGGAAGCGTTGTCCGACTAGCACCCCTGGTGTGGACATGGCCGAAGCCTCTCTCACTAGGAAACAGAGACAAACGTTCGGTAACTTCTTTCCTCTGCCGAAGTTCATGAATGAGGTCTCTCTTTGAGAGAGTAAGGAAATGCACGCTGAAAAAAAAATCTCGGTGTATTTACTAAAAAAGGGTAAAATTACCAAGAACTCAGGGTTCTATTTGATCCCGGTTTTTTCTTGGTAAAATTACCATTTATGGAATTGGTAATTTTACCGAGAAATCTCGGTAAAATTATCGAACTTTCTAGGTAATTTTACTGGGCCTTAGTAAAAACGCCAATATTTTTAATCGATTGTGGTAGAATTACCGAGATAAAATGGCAAAGTTACCGGGAATTGATTATCAATGAAAGTGGTATTCTTACCTGAAAAAAACAGTAAAAATACCGGTTTTTAGGTAAGCTTCCTAGTCTGTCTTGGTAAAATTACCAATAATTGGTAAAAAAAGTGAGATGGTATAAAGGTACCAACGGACCTTGGTAAAAACGCCGAGAATTTTTTTTCAGTGCATGCTAATTACACGCAAAACAATTTTTCAGTCCAAGAATCTGAGGAGTTTTTAAAATGTGGCAGATGAAACAATTGGATCGAAGTATGCGAAAACGTCCGTTGTCCAATACAGGGTTTCATAATTGCGGTGGGTTTCTTTTGTCCCACGACACTGATGAATAGGATCGAACTCTTTTGTAAACGTTTAATTACACTTAGGGGATTATTTATGAAATTGCTCTACATTTTCAACGTCTTGAACCATCTTGTGTCGTTAAGTTACAACAAAACTGTCCACTCAAATTCTGAAACACTGTCTTGGACATCGGACGTTTCGCATGCGTCGATTCAAGTTAAACTCGAGCAGGCACACATAGTGTATCCTATGGGGTATACGGCTGTTATTCGACTTTTGCGTTCAGGGCAAAATTCTCACACAGAAGCCCCTTGAAAAAGTGCAATATTTATGTAATCATGCCCCAATTTTTGCTTTGTTACATAATTCAATTGCCAGTAAAATTCTGAGGTAAATGATTTTACTTTTAGATTCAGATTTCTTATGTTTCCTACGTAGAAAAATCGAGTTTCTGTTCATCTCTTCGGAATTCGAACTGTAACTTCTCCCCTATTCGGCCGATTTTTATACATGAGGTCCTGGCTGAGGTTGGCCTGAGGTCGGCTGTCCTGGCTTTCATAGCAGTGGTACCAAGCTTCGTAAGAGAGAACGGCGGCCTAGAGATCTTCCTTTACAGCGTTTCAACAAAAGGGAGAAGTGATATTCACGTTTGAAGACGACTGAACTGCTTTTGTGATAGACAGTATGATGGTGAATGTATTTAAACGCAAAATTTGAACGGGTTCGTGTAAGATACAGAAGCAACTCCCATTCTCTGTTGTTGGAGATCTCTATAGGCTTGATGGGGTCGCCACCGCTCCTAGTAATGCTTGGAAAGTTGAAAAAGGACCCCGATTACACGTCATCAGGAGTTAAATTTCTAACTTTACCCTTGACAAAAAATAAGCCTAAGACTAGCTAAGAGTTCGACAACTTTTTCCCCGTTTTTGTTACATAGAGAGAAGAAAGAAAAAGAGAATGGTTGATACACTAAAATAGACGGAATAACGATGCTATAACACGGATTCTCACGTTCAAAAAAACGGCCCGTGGGCGTGCAAAATTAAATTCTATATTTTGAACGTACACAAAAATGGACCAGTTATCTGGAACCTAAAGTCTTGGTGTTTTTGTAGCCATAAAATGTATTCGGTTTCTCCCGCAAAATTGGGTCTTAATATATCAGGATAACTAAAAGCAGACTCGCACTCACTTTGAAGAGCCCATAGGGTTAAGTTTTGCAGACTTTTTTCGTAAGAATCGATTTGTTGGTTGCATAACTGGTTCGCCTGCGACTGAGGCCTGAAGTTTGAAAGCTTTTCCGATATAACATCTGAAATCCACGTCGATTTGGGGCCACTCTTGATGGTAATATCCTCGGCAAGACATTTTCCGTTTAATATTGCACAAAGAATAAAACATTGCACACAAGTTCTTATCCATTGTTTCATCATATCCCTGGATACAAAAGGTAAAAAGCATAATTACTTCACCGTAAACATTGACTTTTGCTGACGCCTGAAATGTATCCATTGAGCCTTAAATAAATTGTGAAAAGGTCAACTTTTTGGTTCGTTTTTGACGTATGAAGTTTTTTCTTCCTTCTATTTTCTCCTTACGGTATAAAATTTCACATTAGACAGAAAAGTATGAGAGAAGATGAAAACATATCACTCTCATCTTTGCTGATGGATTTTCTCTTGAATGACAAAAGTTTAGCCTCATCAAAATGAATCTACCAGCTATATTCAGTCATTTCACCAGATTTCTCCCTTAGGAAAAGACGTCAGCATAGCTAAACATTTTTCACAAGTTTTCTCATAGAAGGAGAACTGTCATAAAGACTGATGCAGTTTCTTCGAGTATCTCTTTTACTTGCAGATATTTTAGAGACATTTTTCATTGACATGAGAGGATCTAATGAACTTAAGAAGACACCAATGAATCAATAAATATTTGTTTCATAATTTATGATTGAATTTATGTAAGTATCCCTCTTATTTTACCAACGACTAGGGCGTAGTCCTGTTTGTCAGCCCATCCAGTACCGAGCACAATAAATTATATAATATTAAAAATCTAAAAATCATTAAAAATAAAGGACCAGTTAATTCAATAAAAATATCAATAAAATCACAATCATCCTCAGGAGAAGAGAGCCAGCTTTGTGCCCATCTCTTAGGTTAATTTTCTCTGTTCTTAATCTCTCCAGGTAATATTTTCCCTTTGGGTTGTCCGGTCATACAAATGTTCGCTAGTCTCTCTTCATCCATTCGGTCAACGTGCTCCAACCACATCCTCCTGTTCAGACTGGTCCTTTTTGCTACATCTTGCACCCCAAGAACATCGCTGATGAGTGATGGACTCGCTGGTCTGCCGACCATAAAGTGTAAAACCTGCTATCATTCTTAGAACTTTCATTTCAATGGTGCGAATTTGTTGTTTGGTGCGCTTTGTTAAGGTAATTAAAATTTAGTATTAAAATTAACTTGAATGATTTATTTTGGATGTTAAGTCGAGAAAAACACTTTGCTTGAACTTCAAATGAGGGGCTTGGGAGACAAGGCGCATATGTGCGGTTATAGAAATTATTCGAAACAAGAGATTAGAGCCTAGCCGCCTTAGCTGCGTGCCATAGCTCGTTTTGCTTGTATTCCAACAGGTGACATACAAGAAAACGACTGGACCTGACTGAAAGCACAGTAGATAAAGACAGGAAGGAAAGGCGAAGGGAAAACAGAAATATGGACCATTTCGTGTTTTTCCATGTTGTAAAAAGAAAGGATGGAAATAAAAGTAAAATCGTGTGCTGAGTAGCAAGACTTTAGTCAATATTGAGTTGTGCGTGATTTTTTGTGGTTGGAGGTAAGGTCTGTCAGGATACCGAGCGATTTTGTCTGGAAGTCATTTTACGCGGAGAAAACAGCAAATGGGATAAGTGCATTTTTGGTTTAGAGAGAACACGGGATAAGTGCGACCTAACCGTCATTTTAAACCCAACTGCTGGCCTCAATGTGGCTAAACTGAGCTGAAAATTTTAGAAGGCGTTCATGAAGGCATGAGACAAACACATGTAAATTTTGAATGTATCCGGACAGCTTTGTAGGTCTGAGTAAAATCCAGAACTTTAAACTCGTTTTTTTTCAGAAATAATAAAAACTGCACTAATGCGCCTTGTTTGTTTGGTAAATTGTCCATTGTTATGGAAAATTGTTAATTTTTTTTTTTAAATTTTCTGACAAAAAGTAGTTTGATGCAGATCAAGAGTCAGTATCAGGGGCGGATTCCAGAGATCCCGAGCAATTCACTGTGATTAAACAATTAATTTAACCCATTATGGCATGAATTAATTTTTGGTCTCTAACTCTGTGGGTCTTAAATCTATGATGTAGCTTTCGTAAAAACAAAATGTCTGAAATTTTTTCCTTGAAACCACAAGATTTTGGAAATTATTTTTTTTCAAAAAAGGAAACTTTAGTAAGAATTTGCAACATCTTGCCGAAGGAAAGTTTTTTTGCGTTTTTTTGTTACGATTAAAATCACAATACCGTGGGAAGTTGAAAAACAAGATGAAAAAGTCTCTGGCAAAGCATATGCAGACCAAATTACAGACTGAAATTTCAGACATACCTCGGATTTGAACGTAATCGACTCAATCTAAGCGCATCCGGTAGTGAGAGACAAGCCCTCAAAAGCCCCGAGCGTAGTAAACACTTGACTGAGAGATGGGAAAAGATTGAGCCGTTCGTATATGACTTTGTTTTATGACCACTCTCACTCCACGGTCAGTTTGGCTTTTAAAGAGTGACAAAGCAGTATTGAAAAGTGCTAATTCGGAGAACAAGAATGTTTTATCGGGAAAGGAGGAACACCACACCAGTCGCGATGATTCTTGCATGTTGGTAACGCTATTTTACCTCCATTTCAGTCAATGATATGTTACCGACTTCGTAGCTTTGCATTTTCCCCATCATATTCAATTTGTTTGTTGGTCGTATCGGAGACCAGTGAAAACCTTTCATTGAAAATTTTGAACTCAACTCCACATTTTACTACACATTACTCGGGAATTGGAGTACATTTTGCAACAAGGTACCACTATTTGTAGCTTATTTTAGTCGTAACAGAAGCGTAATTCAAAGGGACCTTTCGGTCCCTCTATAATTTTCAAGAGAGCCCTTTTGAAGAAAAAACGGACCCCAACTTGTTTTTCAAATAGGAACATTCCCTTTGTAATAACTCGTTCGAAAGAACATAAATAAAAATACGTAGAAAATCCTACCTCCAACTGTTTGAAAATAGCGGCCTGGTAAAGCTGAAGATGACCATAAATTGACACCGGTTGTTTGTCGATGGATTTGCGCGCAAATCAGTATTCGCGGGTATTTTGACACAAAAAAAACGAATTTGACGTTAGATTTTTTCTTAAAAAAAAAAAATATTAAAAAAAACCGAAATTGCCGAAATGGCCGCCTGTTAAAGTTCAAAATGGCCGAAAATTGCCACCACGGTTTTTTTTCTGAAGGATTTGCCCAAAACTTGAAACTTAGGAGATTTTGGCATGAGATTTTCGTTTGAAAAGAAAGCTCGTGTCCGTTGCCTCTCCTCACTCAAAGTAGCTCTCTTTGACCTAGGAACATCTCCCATGTTTCAAATCTTTACCTACGTCGGGTGAGATATATGCCACCCACATATATGCCCGCTTTTAAGCATGTTGCTGAAGATTAAAGTAAAATAAATGGGTTATTTCTTCTAATGATAAACCATGGAATTTCCAATCATTAGACTGTCAACTTTAGACTCATTGTTTTCTTGGCATGCATACATTTTTGTGACTGAAGTTGTTGGGAAAACCCTGAAAGGCTTCCTGCCTTGAAAATTCATAGGAGTATGAAAACATTTCCGATTGCAATTCCTTGGTTTATCTTTAAGGAAGCTTAAATGAGCTTAATTAGTATTATTTTGCAGGTATCAATTTGGAATGGGACTATGAACAAAATTACAGACTAAAACAATCTATAATATGATTTCTCTTCTACATCGTTAGTTGAAAATGATTTACACCGCAAAAAGGTGGGAAATAAAAATAAAAAACAAAAACAAAAAAACTCTAGGATAGAATTTAAATACAAGAATTTACATTCATCATTAGGCAAACACAGAAATGACGCTATTTTTAGACTTTTGCATTGCATTTGATCTGTGTTTAATATAAATGTTATAATCTTGCTCAGGAGTTGGTTTTCGAACTCTCTGTTGCGTAAATTTCTCTTCACGTTTGATTTTGAAGAGAGGGCGTATTTTGTATGGCGCTTTAATTCGGAAGATGTAAACTTTGAATGAATCAATTGCATATGAAAGTATATTAATGTATCTTTGATTTAACTGCAAATCGATGAAAATAACCGGACTTCTCGTATAACGACAGTAATTTTGGACATTTTCTGTAGATGATTTGGGAAATGTAGAGCATAAATGCTGTCGATGCTGTTTGAAGAACCACGGCTACAACGATGATAGAACTACAGAAGATAGCCTTCTGGTCACAGAAGGAGTGGTAATACAAGAACATCATTGCATTTCGAAGTCAAACCTATGCGTTTGCCGAATTTCAACGTCACTTTTCAAATTAATATCGAAGTGGGGCCTTAGAGCCATGAGGCAAATCTTATAGAGAGAAAAGCGGGGAGGTAAGAGAGCAGAAAATCCTCCATCTTCTCCGGGTTTACGGTGTGCGGGTTTACAGAATAGAGGATTTGTGCGCACTTATTGCCAAAATAAGTTTTATTGAGCATGGCGTGGCCTACAACGCAGAGACCTCTATGGAAAAGTGGATTCATTCATGAAAAAAAGAAGGTGGAAGAAGGAATGAGTGTATGATATTATTTGGAACAGAACAAATATTGTGAGCGAAAGTTCATCGATAGTGACTGACAATTTAATCAAATATTACAAACAGTTAAATTTACTATGTGATAAAATAACTTATTTTTGGGTGCGGGTTTACAGTCCAGAGGAAAGATTGGAGAAAGGCATATCAAAATTGGCAGTTGAAGTTGAAAGCATATTGCTTCCTCACTGAGAAGCTCTTTTCTTCGTGGTGGGCCTTATTGGAAGGATCTAAAATGACTGCGTGCCTTCAATTCTTCATTTTTGTACACTTCGAAGGCATCTCTCAGACATGAATTGTTATTCTACAAATCATGGTCAGCGCAACGCGATATCAAAAATTAAGCAAGAAATATGCATCCAACACCTTTGACTACTTGTGCCTAGGAGACACCTTTGTTGTATAAACGAAGAATTGAAGGCGCTCTTCCATTTGAATCAATGCAGTAAGACCCACAGTTGGCGCCGAGGCGCGCCGCACGTGAAGTGGTGAGTACCCGAACAGTCAAAACGCCTTCACTTCTGGGCGTATGCAACACGGACATCCTTGGAGCCCGAATAGTTGCATCCGGGAGTTAAAATGCAATCTGTACAGCGTTTGTCGCATTCGACACTATTTCGAGGGCGCTTTGCGTTTCTCGTACATCGTAATTTACTTCGAGCGTTGCTTTTTGTACCGATGAAGTTAGAAAAACACTGTTGCCAACCGCGAAAATTGTCACTTGATTCCACCTACGGATCGTTGTTTTCTCGTGATTTTTCATCATTTAATGGGTCCAGCTCCAGCTTCCTAGATGGATGCCTTTCATTTTTTCTGATAAAAAGTCTGTAAAAAATAAAATAGTAAACTCGTATATGAAACAAATGGAGTTCCGGTATATCATACTATAAAAATATTCTTTATATAAATTTACTGGAAATCAGATGTCCTCTTAAAAGTCATGCAATTTTAAAGGTCTTCATTTTGAAAAATTGGTGGAATCAAAGAGAAAAGTGTGGCGATTTGACTATCTTGTTTTACTTACCCAGTTACGAGGCAGACTGAAACCTTACTTCATTGAATAAAATTTGGTATTTTATTTTACATAGGTTCATTAAATTCTGTAAGTATCTCAGGGTTTGCACAACCAGAGAAAGGAGGGATTAGCAATAAACCCTCCCATTTTTGAATTTGCGACATTTTTGGCTCAATAATATCATTTTAGAGAATTTTTGAACCAAAAATTCGACATTTCATGTATTCCTTTTTTTGTTGTACAGTCTCGAAATTGAGGTATGCGCATCTGTAAAGTGACGTTCTTACAACATTCGTTGTCACAAATGTACCTGGAATTAATAAAAGTTAGGACTTACTGAATGATTTTAGTCATGAAAATTCCCCTCAAATTGTTCGCTGGAGCCTCGAAGATTAAATATAACAAAAGAGAGCCAGCAAATACGACCACTATGTCACCAGCAAGCATCCATACCTGAAACATAAACGTCGCATCCTTCATTTTATATTGGTTATGAAACATGCATATAAAATCGAGTGATGGAACTAGATTGATGAAGTGACCTCAAAATGTAGGCAATTTCCTCCCCACACATAATTTCCTTAGATATTGGTTGACATCATTTCGGAAAATATTACTCTCTCTTCAGATTGACTTTAATGCAATCATCAATCGCGAATTTTTCAAAATTGAATTACGAGTTAAAAAGTAATTGCTCGCGCACCGAATACCAGGCAGTGTTATCCGGTTTACAGTGATTCACGTTTTAGCATTCGTTTTAGTCTTGACAAACACTTGACCAGCAATCATCTAGCAATAGACCTAAAGATGGGGCAAGAGGCTCCAAAACAAACATTTTCAAGTAAACCATGCAATATAAAAAAAAAGAAAATATCTAGACCAATCAAAAAACCAATCCGTACTGCTCAAATAAAAATTAAGTACGGAGACTTAAACGCAGGTATAGAAAAGTTGGCATTTTTAATCCTAGTCAATCAAATAAACATAAATATAATTTTCCCTATAAAAAAAGCGTCGTAAATAGTAAGACAGATGATTTCATAGACCCATCTCATCCCGGGCAAAGGAACAAGTTTGGAGACTTAAATGCAAGAATGGAAAAGTTACCATTTAAAATCCAAGTCAATAGCATTGTCATGAATGGAAATTTCCTGCAAATAAAATCTCGCAAATTTTGTTGAATAGATCATTCAATGATTCTACCTCATCCTGGGCAAATTAGTTTAGTTTTTTTGAGATTCAATTAGTGACCGGTATTCCTCTTATCCCAATGGAATTCTAATTGTTGTAATGAGAATCACATTTTTTTCTGAAACATTTTTTCTTGCATTCAGCATACTTTTCACTAAAAAATGAAAACATGATAATAACGTATGACGCGTGACTCGATCCTGAGGTAAGGATTTCTTTCTAGTGGGGGGGGGGGGTTGACTTCGATGTAATGAGTGGCGTACCCCCAATAATTCAATAATTACGAAAGAGAGATAATAGGTTTTTGACTTACGATGCGACCCTCCGACAAAAAGAGCGGCGTTCTTGAGCTGAACGTCGTCGCTATCTGCCAAATGGGATGAAATAAATACGCTACGTACGTCAGTCGGCTAAGAGGGACGTATACTTTGAGAGTCAACAGCTTGTCCAAAGTTTCACCTGCAAAAAAGTAATGGATGGTGGGTTGAAGAATACTCCTATCACTGAGGAGTTAATGGTTGAAGATATCACGCAGCTTCGAAAATGAAGGTATAAATTCACACGCCCGCCACAAGGGGGGAGGTGATACTGGGTCCTTCGGTACCGGTGCTCAGGCCCCAGAGGCGCGTAGCGCTTTTGAAACACTACTTCGAATGCACATGTCAACCCTTGTCTTTAATGGAAAAGTGAAAAACTTGCACGAAAAATTTCGCAAAAGGTGAATGAATTTTCTCTCAAACTGGAAAAAAAACACACATCGGATCTAGAGTCGTCCAGACTCTTGAAAACATTGACAAGAAAAAATACTCTTTATTCAATCAGATTTTTGCTTGAATCAAAACGAAAGCCGCTTAAATTAAGAGGCTTGGTTCTTGATTTAAGCTAGATTCTGATTGAATCAAGAGTACTTTTTCTTATCGATGTTTTTAAACGTCTGGACTCTAGATCCAATGTGTTTTTTTTCCAGTGCAATGAAATACTCTCAGCACCGGTAGAACAGTGATCCATTATTAAGAATGCACAGGTAAAACCTCACAATGTGATAGTTTTATGCAGGCAACACGACTGTGCGCGCCGCGGCGGTTGGGCCGCAAATGCTGACAACCTCGGATTCGAGCTTTTTCTCCAGAAACCCCAGGGATTAGAATGTTCGATTCGTGTCCCTCAGAGCGTCATTGAGGAATACTGGAAGCTCTGACCTAATCCCTGTAGCTCTTCAACCCACGCAGAGCGAAAATGTAAAATGACGGTCCAAATGCCGCGGCGCTCCCATCGGAGGGTTAACGATTTCAGAAAAGAAACTTAAGCTGCAATTTCAAATGAAATGGACTCCCACAATGACTTACCAAGACCCCAAGCGACTTGAATCACAATTAGAGCACAGATCATGAGACTCCAAAGCGAGCGATGCAAGGCTCCAAATAAAGCGTTTTGAAGTGCGTTGTACTCCAGAGACGGATCATAGAATGCGAATCCATAAAATTGCGAACCTACCCCTATGGCTATTGCCATGAGCATTATTGCCCATCTCCAAGCCTGCCAACAGAATTTTCTCAAAGTAATTGCGTTTTCTAAACGAACCTTTAAGGAATAATAACATAATATCGACGGTGTAAGACCAAAACCAAGTATCTCGATTTGCGACGTTGCAGGCCTCCTGCCATACGTCATTTTTATATTGAAAATTACTCAAAGGCAAATATTTGAAAGTGTCGTGATTTTTTTTCTCCTTGCAAAGAAACAACTGCGACCATATTAAGGAATTATGCCGATATGTTCTTTTTTAAAAAAATAGGAGCGGAGATTTTCAAGCACCGCAAACAAAAAATGTAGTTGCGCACTTACACCGTCGATGTGTTACTTAAGTATAGTGTCATGTTTATTTATGGTTTTTATCAGGATAGCAATTTTTGCTGCAGTAGTGTGACGTATTGGTCTCCGGGATTTCCCCGATAAATTCTCTCTAGTGTCCCAAAAAATTAGTTGCAAACAGTTTCGTTCACTCGGACTTCAGTTTGCATTATACTCGTAGAATTACTATTTCTGGCTCATTCTAGGAACACGTATGTGCCATCAGTTTCTTCATGCAGATTGGTACAATTATATTCGAGTTACAAATAGTAGTTCCTTACTGTAAAATGCAGTCCATTTTGTGTGCCAATAGAAGGGGGCATTTCATTGCATTGAAATCTGGGGAATATCGTACTTATTTGAACAGCACAGATCAAAATTAAAAATATAATTATTTTCCAACACAACGTCCTCTGGAAAAAAACTTCAAATCACCATAGCTCAGGCATTGTTTTATATCAACAATTTAAAACGGCGCTTGGAATATTCAAAAATACTTTTCTACAAATACAAAAGAATGCATTGATGAAGATGAGGTGAATATTGTTCTATTTTTGTGTTCGTTTCCAATAAACTAAATCAAACTTAAATGTTTCACAACATTCCCTATAGAATAAGTACTCACAACTGACATGGTCCACTTGTTAGCACGAATTTTCAACAATAAATAAGCGGAGAGAATACTCAAAATATATGGCCCGATCCTCGTGTAGCTTCTAAGGTAAACTTGCATGTAGTAATCTATGTTGATCCATAAAGGAAAGCGTCTGCAAATTAAATTGTAATGCATTAGATACTGCAAATTGAGGAACTATGGAATGGACTACATTTTGCAATTAGGAACTATAAATTCCAGCCTGGTTTAAAAACAACGTATGTGCCATTAGTTTCCCTATGCACACAAGTGTTTTTTCATGTGAGCCAGAATTTATAGCTCCAAATTGCAAAACGCAGTCCAAATCATTGATATAATAACAGATACTGTCATTGCATGACTAAATGGCTCTAGAGACATGATTTTGGCGTATATTAAAGTAAGATTCTAGTATTGTCAGTAGACCAATCATCCGTGCAAAAAAACATTTTGATCTGGAAGTAAAATCATTTTCTCCTGAGCGACTTCGTATTTAAAATAGCTTTATTTATCAAAATATTTAGAGAAATTTGCCTTGAATATCAAAAATAAATGCAATAATATAACTACATAAACGTATTTTCCTTACCTTGGGTCCAATTTAAAAACTGAGTCCAGTTTTCGGGAGTAGATTATGAAAAACGGAATCGCAAATGCACTCGCTAGGACTGCTAGAGCGAATTTCAGACCCGTCGAGTGGTTCTTTGCGAACATGTAAACGATCAGGAGACCTACAGGAAACATCTGCAACTCGCAGGCTATGTACCATGTATGAGGAGCGCATAGCCAACCTTCCCGCACATTATAGTTCTGTTAGAAAAAACGTACGACTTTGAGAACATTTCTTGCAGAAAGAGTCTAATTTTAAAAGGGTTCGAAAATCACTAACATTAAAATTATTTGAAGGAGTAATTGTTTAAATGAGACACAATACCAAAGCCTGGTAAAATAAAAACATAAACCTCTGGATGGCCAAAAAACCAAGATAAGTGCTGGTATAAAATAGGATCACCTCCCCCAAAGGACCATAAAAGGATCTATTGAAATGTCGATCTATTAATAACATTGTAATAGCCCCTGCAAGAACAGGAAGTGAAATCAGTAGTAGAAATACCGTAATTAATACTGACCAAACAAATAATCTTAGATTTGTTTGATTTGAAATTTGAAATTTCTATTTTATGATACTTGTGATACTTTTTGATAGGTACTACATTAAAATATTCCTCTGTCGATGGCGACACGCCGAGATGCATGAAGAAATGGAAAATACATGAAATGCTCCCCTCTACTGAATAACTCTAAGTTATTTTGCGCAACACTTCGGCTGACCAAATCAAAATAAATCTTTATCATTGTTTAAACTATAATGTGATCTTGTTCTTTTCCCATTTAGATCCAAACCTTTACGATCCTGTGATCCTAGGAATGCAAACTCGCGGTGTGCACTGTTCGGAAATGGTGTGCACCGGGGTGAGCTCGACACCAAGAAAATACGACTTCTCAACGACTTGAGCGCGCACCGTGGTATACGTGCAATGCATGAAGTATCCTACAGACGTGTAAGGCGCTACAATACGCCACGCGATGCATCGTGCTGTACGCTCAATGCATGAAGTATTCTGCGGTCTCGTAAGGCGCCAGTCTGCTATGCGTTCTGTGCCGTGCGTGATAGCTACGCGTCGGCTGCAAACTTTTTGATGAAACTGAGATATTTAGCACCGATGAACACGTTTGTGAACATGTTTTTGAGTCACGTTTGGATTGATAAAAATAAATCGGCACAAACAAAATTTTGAGGTTTTTGAGGAAAGTTACCCCTAAAAATGTTGATAATTTTCAAATTATGGACGAAGACGGAAAAATGAATTCTTTTAACATTTCAAATATTCAGGTCTAATATTAGTGCGCCTGGGCTGTAATTAAAGCTCTAGCCCAAAAAATGCATGTTGAGAGTTCTTTTCAATTTTCTGAAAGTTGGAAAAAGAGATTACCGGCCGTCTCTATCTACTCTATTTAGTAGAAGATACTTACTGCTGGGTCATCGACTGAGTACAAATTGTTGATGGTAAGTAGGTAGTGCCACCAAGTATTTTGGCAGCTCTCGGCAATTGGGAGGCTGAAGAACTTCCATGCAGGACCATCACTCATGTATGGGAGAAGCAAGGCAGTGATTGCGACAAGCATCATGAATGAAGGCATGAGTCTGTGAATATTAATCGAGACTTAGTCAATAATGCAATAAATTGTTGATTAATTTAAAATTGAGCCACTTGCTTCATTTTATTGCAAGGCCAGTAGTCATTGCCTACTCTATCGCTGACGTAGTGTTTCACAAAAACAATAATGTACGAAAATATGCACTACATACTATATATCTCAAAAATAAAGCAACAAAAGCAGCCCAAAGCGGAACAGTAGAATGTAAAATAACAAACAGCGGAAATAAGGCTAAAACAGAACGACGCCTGTTTTTAGCCTTGTTTGCACTGTTTGTTGTTTGACATTCTATATAAAAAATTATAATGGATGCAGCAAAGAACCTCGTCATAAATAAGTGCTCCTTTTTGGAGTCGTGGGGTTTCCTTTACATCTATCCCTGGTGGAACGTTGTGATGTGATAGACCTCCAATGAATGTTTCATTGAGCGTCCCACTGCGTTTAATTCAACCCAATGACGTTTGAATAATTGAATGAAAGAATGATCTCGACTTAAAAATTCTAATATTTTAAAGTTATTTTAGGAATAGGTCATCTTAGTTTTAACAACTACAGATGGTGAGAAGCAATGCATTTTTTAAGCGTGAAAAAATAACTTTTAATACATTTTTTTTAAATTTTGGTTCACATACATGGAATTCTCTAGTGATGTTTTGCTTAAAATTTTAAAATTAATTATGATGCACTTGGTCACTCTGCACTTTTTCCAGCAAGTTTAAAAGCTATGCTGGTACCGGGTTAATTCGAATGGAAGTTTTTCTATCTTTACCTGAGCCAACGATTGAATATCATGAGAGGAATCACCTTTAAGCCCTGCTTTCTAACTGGTTCGTAGCAGCTTTGGAAAGTGAGAAATCCAGCGACGATGAAGAAAGACTCGACGACCAGTGTTGGCATGAAGAGAGGTAGGTCTTTTTTCACTTGCTGTAGAAAGAAATGTATTGTATTGATTCAGGTGCAATTTCATTTAGACTTACTTGATTAACAGAAAATATTACGAATGAAATATCGGTTAAACATGAACAAATGGAGGGGGGGATACATTCGAGCTCCGGAATAAGATTTTTCATCAGGCAACGATAGATTTGGAGAAGCGACAATTCCTGGAGTTTTTAATCATGGATTTGAATGAGAAAACGTTCAAAAAGATGAAGGACAATGTACCTTAACAAGTACGGTAAAATATCCTCACTTTGAGCTCCATTATATATACATATTTAAGTGATCTGGTGGAGAGGGTATGATTCGATCGAACATTGAAAACGTGAATCTATCGACAATGGTTCTATTGACAATGGTGTTGATTCGATCAACATGAATCGATCAAAATATAAAAACGTGAGCCAGTCGACGTAATTCGACCAACATCGATTTAATTGACAACCGTGAATCTATCTACACATCCATCAATCGATCGACAGATCCTGGAATCGATCGGAAAACCCGTGAATCGATCGAATTGGTGTCTATCCAATCATGCTGATTGGTCCACATTTTTATTTTTTGGTCGTTCCATGTCAATAACGTCATCCTACTGGTGGTGCTTACATTAATGAGTTGTCTCTCCACGCTGCTATCCTGATGAGCAACACCTCAATTTCTTATGGTGCGCGCATTTTGTATGGATTTCATGAGGCCCAGCTCTTCCTCTTTCCCTGGGGAACTAGTGCTCTTTAAAAATAACGTGTAAATCACGGTAATCGGCCGAGAAAAACAGCATCGATGGGTCAAAGTCGTTCACATGTTAGGGCTGCAATTAGTAAGAGGATGGGCAAGTTAGGGACGAGGAATTTCATGAGAGTTCAGGGGTTTGAAGGTGCAGAAATGATGTACTGGAAAAAAAAGTCGCTTGAATCTACAGTCCAGACTGTTAAAAACAATGACAAGAACAAATATTTTTGATTCAATCGGATTTTTGCTTGAACCAAAAGGAAATCCGCTTTAATTAAGAGGCTTGGTTCTCGATTTAAGCAAAAATCCAATTGAATGGAGAATATTTTTTCTTGGCTTTGTTTTTAAGAGTCTGGACTCTAGATCCAAGTGACTTTTTTTCCAGTCAGTTTTATGGTCAGACGCGACGCTAGTATTTTTCTGTACGTACCGATTCGAAGAAAGACACATTGAAAACCATGTAGAAAAGCATACAGGCGAATCTGTGTCCGAACATAACCCCAAAAGCCGCGGAAGCTTTCAATAAATCCAAGATAACCATGTGATCATCGTTCGTTTCGGGGACTACTTTACCAAGGTTTCTGGCTATTGAAAAGCTCATAATTATTCTGCGCGGAAGAGTATCTGTAAAATCAAGGTAGAAAAAAAAAAATTAATTCGAAATTCCATCAAAATAATATGCAGCTACCCTAGTTGAAGCAAGCAGACTTTAATTTTTTTAGACGGCGCTGAATGGAAAAAGTGAAAATGCTGATTTAACAATTTTGTAGTTAAAAAACGTTTCCGACATGTTTCAATGTAGATTTTACACAAAAAAATGCTAATTTAACAACCCCCGTGGTTAAGCTAGCTTTTCACTATCATAAAATGTACATTTGAAACATGTCTGACAATTTTTTTAAACTGCAAAATTGTTAAATCAGCATTCCATTTTTTTCCGTGTGCTTCCTTTTTTTGGGTACTTGTATATTTGGAAATTCATTTCCCGGCATTTTTTGACAAAATATAACAGAAAAAATATATTATAAGATACATTCTATTATAATACATGAACATGTTATAAAAAAATAGTATTTTTAGAAAGTCACCATCATAACTGAATTCGGGCTTTATAGGATGGCACACCCTCATAGTCCAAAACAACTACCCGTTCTAACTCATAGAGTCACTACATTTTAACTTTGCCTTCTTTTTTTGTCGTTTCGTCTGTCAATTAATTCCGATAATCAGCCCGCTGAGAGAAGTTTGATATGAAAAAGAATAAATTATAGACTGTTACCTTTTTTAGGGGTCTCTTGGATCGCATTGGATGTAGACAGTTGATAGAGTGTGGCCAGAAGACAAAGGACGCTCAAAATCACGAGAATGCATCTGAAGAAGACAGGCGGTGTCAGAATTTTCAGAGACATTTTAGAGAAAAGGATCTATGTACCCCAGAAGACAACTTACAAGTACATAATACAAGAACGCAGTTCATTTGAATCAATTTCTTTTTTTGAAATGTTTTCAATAATGGGGGAAACTGCTTCACGAGTATTTATTTACGTATGTGCAAGCCGCCTTCATAGCGGTTTCTGGCGCTTTTCAACATTTAACCATCGCAGTCCTCTAGCCTCCTAAAGCCCCAACGACCCCCTAAAAATTACTCTCCGTCATTTCTAGTTGAAAACCTTGTCTCTTCCCCTTACACCAGACGTCTCCTTCAACTCTTCCCGGGTTGAACCAAATGTTAGGCATCTTTTGTCATGGGAACGGAGATCCCCATGATATTACAATCGTTCCGTTGCTTTCACTATGGGATTCCCTATACCTCTGCGACCTTGAGCGTTTCGCCCAGTCTCCGATTTTTGGTTGATTTTCCGATGTATCAAAAACCGTTGTATTTTTTAGCCAATCATGTCTCTACGTCAAGTTGTGTTGATTGNATAGTCTAGTAAAAAAGAAATAAGAAAACCATGACTTACAAGAGAGTTTTGGAGGCATAGGACATAGGTTCATCGTCCAAACTGGAGGTGCAAAGATCGTCGTGCATTTGGATTTTGACGTTGATGCCGTGCTCCTGCGTCACATTGGCAAACGTCACGTTTAGCGTCTCTTCAACGTCATGACGTGAACACGCCCCCGGTACGCAGAGCGCCATGAACAGATCGGTCCGGTCCATTCGAAACCAGTTGCTGTTCGGCTGTAACAATTCAGGGGCCTATGGTTCGGACGCCAATCTCGGGGGCCTGTTGGCAACGATGATTCTAGGTTCAATGTATCTGCCACAAGAATGACATTACATTGACATAGAGACGTAGGGTGAAAATACGAAAAATAACTTATGGTAGATTTAACTATGCACCTGGCTGGTTGTATTTAAAATCAAGAGAAAGGAAAGACCCTCTGTTTTTATGAAATCATTTTTAAGACGTTCGATGGACGGGGTGAGGAAGGGGAGTAAGACGGTCGATGGGCAGGAGTGAGGGGAAGGGGAGTTCAAAAGTCAGAGTTTTAATAGAATGGGCCTTCATTTTCAGAGGCCTTTGCATAGTAATGGAGACCTTGCATATGTGAGAAATTTATGATTTGACATTGATCCTTATGTAAAAGTTTGCGAGAAACACGATGGTGCCACTGGTTTTCCCTGAAATCAACTCCCAAGCTCAAAAAAGATCTCAGGTTGAGGCCAGGATGGAGGGGATATCCCGCGCTGTCCTGAGAGTCCACTTCTACATCAAGACAAACTCTCCATGCAAAAATAGGAAGCAAATACATTGACAGGGCTGCCACTTTATTTGTGGACTCCAAAACTGAAAACAAGGCAACCCTGCTAAAGTATTTGCTCCCTATCTTTGCATGGAGAGTTTGTCTTGATGTAGAGATGGACTCTCAGGATAGTGTGGGATTTCTCCTCCATTTTGGCCTCAACTTGAGAGCTTTTTTTGAGCTTAGGAGTTGATTTCAGGGAAAACCAGTGGAATCATCGTGTTTCTCGCGAACTTTTACATAAGAATCAACAGTCAAATCGCAAATTCCCCACAAATGCAACATCTCCATTGACAGCTATATGTGGCCCTGTCAAGGTCGACTTCCCAAAAAAGGAATCAAAATTCAGAGTCAGGAGAAAGTCATTAAGGGAAATTTTTCTTTGAAACACCGTTCTGTTTTTCAATTAAAATTATATGCTCATTAACCACGAACGGGCGATTTTGACGATCTCGCTGACTGCGAAGCGGCCTTTGGGAGCGCGCGTAGCGGCCTAGTGTCCTAGTTGTTAAATAAATCAATTTTCCGATTTGACAATCTGAAAATGTAACCATCGACAATAAAAGAATGCGGTTGATATGACTATAGTACTAAAGTGGTGTAAAAATCAGACAGGTGTATGGCTAATTTTATCTTATCGTTCGTTTCCGAGCGTGAAACAATAGAGGGGTCATACTGAAAGAAGCGATAAAATAGATCAAGAGAGAAGTGGGAGAGGAAGGTAGGCAATTTGCAATGCTAAAAAAAGATGCAGATTATCTCAACTTTATCGCATTACATTTCAAGTATAGGAGCCCCTTCTATTAGCAAATAGACCTCATGCACAAATCTCCGATAAAAATAGCAATAATTTTACCATGTAATTACAATTTATTTGACACGTGTATTTGCGTTGAGTTGTAACAATCACCACTTGCCCCATCAATAATGCTTTCATAAGGATTGCAAAATTATAAACATAAAAGCAGTAAGCCATTCTCAAAATTTCTTAAGAGATCTAGAAAGCTTCATATAGGTATAGCCTTGATACTTTTCTTTTATATTTTTTTTATTTATTTATTTTTTTTAACATTTGTGACCGAATTAACATGAGATATAGTGTCCTGTCTGATGAAGCTTGTTTGTAATGGAAATGCCTCACAGGAGAGTACTTTTATAAAAATAGGTTTTAAGGCAAAACTTTCAATTAGTATCTCTTAAGAGGGTTCCTAAAACCCCCGAGATTTCTAGATCCATCTGACACACCCACAAAAACGTTCTGCTCTCGAGAAACATGAAGCTTACTACGTACTTTATGAAAATAGGCTGACGCAAAATTTGAGGTACTATTCAAGGTCAATATAAAAGATTTTAAAATTCATCGCGGACCTTCATTAATAGGAATAGTTTTTGAAAAATTCCATTCAATTTGTTTTCATTTCATTAAGACTGCTATATTTTTCAAGTTTGAGACTATTAGTAGTTCTGTTGATATTGTCGGCAAGATGAAGAAGAGATAAAAAAAAAAACTTGATCCCTAATGGAAGTGAATGATTATCGATTTTTCGAGGTATCAAAGTAAACTTCTGTTTCATTTTTTTGTCCGCGTCTCATTAAGTGATTGAGTTTTGAGCCAAGAGCGGGAAGTGAATGTCACATGACCCCATTAATCTGTCTCATTGATGCGCAATTAACAGGGCGAGGTTGAATACTGTGTTCCGTACTATTCCGTGCGTAAAGATGCTCTCGTAGCCTATTAAAATATTTTCGCATCTCCCTCTCTTTTGATTTTAAAATGGATTCAATTTGTCACACTTATCGAAAGATAGTGCCCTTGCACTGGAATGCTATAAAAAAGTTGGCTTATACAAAAAACTTTACGAGCAAATCCTTCTCCTGGAAGGTATACAGTTGCGTGTCAAAGTTAATATGATAATCAACGTATGAGTAATGCGTGATCAAATCCACTGCATAACGCTCATTGAGTAAAATGACCTCGAAATGACCAATCGTGAAGAATCGCGCTTGCAGTAACTTTCTGCCATCTCTTTCAGTATTACAACTAACTCTCTGGAACTCATTTAGTTCTATAAGTGGTAACCGTTTTCAACCATTACTATAAGCTCTCTCACAGTCTCTCACCACCTAAATTTTCAATTTTGGTCAAAAGTTCGTTTTAGAATTCTAATGGACCGATTTCCATGATTTTTGCGGCTATTGACGGGTGATAAATTCGAAATGAGCTCGCTCTATTCATAATTTGAATAGTAACTTACAAGGACTGTGAAGCGGACTTAAAATGGCTCGAAGCATCCTTTGGAGTTTGGGCCGCGGAGCACCTAAAGGGCGTAGCCTGTTTGTATCCTTAAAAAGATACAAAAAAATTTGAAAGTTCTGCATCAGAGGTCACTGTGGACCTATGAAAGAGTTTTCTCTTTTTGATTCATAAACATCAAATGCGATGTAAACGGTTTGATTGTAAGAATTCACATCTACAATAATTAAGCATCAAAACACAATTCTGTGACTAGCGCAACTGTCCCACGGAGATCTGCACGGAGAAAAAAACTTCGTGCGTGGGACCCGAAGTTTAGGTCATATGAATCTCTGAAATTTTCGGATTGAGCATCTGAACACTTTAGGTGCAGCTGCTGAGGTTTGGATCACACATCTGAAACTTCAGTTCTTATATCTGAAGTGCATTGGTTTCAAACATCTGAAGTACTTCAGATGTAAGAACTGAAGTTTCAGATGTGAAAACCGAATTACTTCAGTTGTAAGAACTGAAGTTTCAGATGTGTGATCCGAACCTCGACAGCTAGACCTAAAGTGTTCAAATGCTCAATCCGAAAACTTCAGAGATCCATATGACCTAAACTTCGGGTCCCACGCAAGAGATTCTTTTCTCCGTGTGCATCTAATTCTGCAGTAAGTATCTTTGAATTTTACCTTTAGCGTGTCCCAAGCATTGGAATCTGGAGGTGGCTCTACTGTTTTCAGTGGTTCGGTGTAAAACTTAGGGTACGTCGCTGGAGAGGGAGAGACTTTTAGGTGCGCCAAGCAGTAGCGGCCCGCCAGTTTGGCGTGTTTGATGGCGACACATTCGTCATAATGACCCAAGTGGAAGCGTTGTCCGACTAGCATCCCTGGTGTGGACACGGCTGACGCGTCTTTCACTAGGGAATAGAGACGAATGTGAAGTTGGTTAAAAAAAAAAAAAAAAAAAAAAAAAAAAAAAAAAAAAAAAAATTGCGATTGTAAACAACAAAAAGCACGTGGAGAAAAAACCTCGTACGTGGGACCCGAAGTTTAGGTCATGAGGATCTCTGAAGTTTTCGGATTGAGCATCTGAGCACTTTAGATCTAGCTGTCAAGGTTCGGATCACACATACGAAAAACTTCAGTTCTTACATCTGATGACATCATGATGAGTACTCACTTCAGATGTGAGAACCGAAGTTTTACGGATGTGAAAACCAATGCACTTCAGATATAAGAACTGAAGTTTCAGATGTGTGATCCAAACCTCAGCAGCTGCACCTAAAGTGTTCAGATGCTCAATCCGAAAACTTCAGAGATCCATATGACCTAAACTTCGGGTCCCACGCACGAAGTTTTTTCTCCGTGCACTGTTGTTTTCGCTCATTCTTGGCAATATAATGTCACTCATTTTGGTACGAGGGTAGAGCGTAGACGGATCCAAAAGGAGGGGGGGACGTAGCGGGCACCCCTTTCCCTGTTTATATGAAAAATAGGAAGGAGGAAAAGGGAAGAAAGGAAGAAGAAAGAAGAGGCGGAGAGAAGGAAGGTGGGCGCATAAATGGACCGCACTTGGCAGAAAGGAGCCAAGCTACATTAGCCTTTGCCAAATTCAATTCGGCAATTTAATTCTTTACAAGAAAACATTTGTGCACATTTCTTTGAAAATATCAAGGAATTTGCTCCGCACTTTGCAGAAAATTCACTGAAATTGGCATACAAACTGCAAAACCGTTTTTGTGTAAAAAATTAAATTGCACAGTTAATTGTGGCAACAGCTAACGCGGATTGGTTTCTTTCTGCTTAACGCGGTCCAAAAGTGGTAATTACCCATGGATAAATTGAATCAACGTTCATACTGCATGCTTTCAAACTTCGAAAATTTTGCAAATAAAGCTTCCTGGACCTCCCTCTTACCCCTCCCTCCCTTCGTTTGAAGTGTCTGGATCCACCTATCAGATTGAGTCCGATTCAGATAAATTGACCCTTTTCACTGTATGCGTGGGATATCAAATCTCCGATTTCACAATTACAGCAAAAATTGAAAAGTTTCCTAAAACGGGCTCTGGGTGTTTTTGTAGCCGTCTCCATATGTTTGGCTCCTCTTAGCCAAACTTAGTCCAACATATATTATTATAATAACCAAAAGTAGACTCGTACTCACTTTGAAGAGCCCAAAGGGTTAGGTTTTGCAGACTTTTTTCGTAAGAATCGATTTGTTGGTTGCATAATTGGTTCGACTGTGACTGAGGTCTGAAGTTTGAGAGCTTTTCCGATATTACATCTGAAATCCACGACAACTTGGGGCCACTCCTGATGAATTTTTCCGGTTCATCCGCAAGCAATGTTCCATTTAGCATTGCGCATAGAATAAAACATTGTAGCGCCCAAGTTCTTAGCCATTGTTTCGGCATATTCCTGGATAAAAAAGTTAAAAAGAATAATTACTTCACTGAGAACATTGACCATTGACTGACGTTTGATATTTATCCATCGAATCTTAGGTAAATTACTTTAATGAGCTGCTAAAGGTCAACTTTTCTCGTCAGTTTTTGACTCAAAGGCTTTTCTTCCTGTCTATCTTATTTTCTTTGTTCGGTATGATATGTCACGTTGGATGGGAAAATATGAAGAAGATGAAAACTTGGTGTGGCTCTCATTTTTTGCAAATAGATGTTTTCTTGAATAAAAAAGGTAAGACTCGTCTAAATGGATTTACCAGTTTTACTGATTTATTTTGCCAGTTCTCATCCGTAGGAAGAGAAATTATAGCAAATAAATGAATTTTTTATAAGTTTTTTCATGGACAGGAAACTGTTTTAAAGACAGATGAGGTTTCTGAAAACTTCTCATTTCATTTTTTCGATATTTTGGAAAAATTTCTCATCGACATAAGTTCGACGAACTTATGACGACACGAATAAATAAAAAAATTATTAATTTGTCTAATTTGCATGGACTTTGATCTTTCATTTGACATCGGCTTTTTGTAGATTTAATTTGATTGTATATACAACAAATATTCATTCAACAATTGATAAGACTTTGTCTGATATAAACACACGAAAATCGGCATTTCCGACTCAATTCGACGAGAACACTCATTTGAAAATTCTTCTTTCCTTGAGAGGTCATATTATGATATTTGTGGTGATTTTCTCGTAAATTTTTTGAGGGTCAGGGCAAAAAAAAAAAAGAAAGAAAATGTTTAAACTTCTATTTTCTCTTAGAAACTTCCTTTGCATTTTTTTTTTGACAGAAAGGAGTCTGGTGAAGATCAAGAGTCAGTATCAGGTGTAGGTACAGGAGCCCCGGAGAAGTAATTGTGATTAAAATGATCAACCGTCTACGGCATTCATTAATTTTTGGTCTCGGATTCTGGGGCACACGAGACGATACTACAGTTTTCGTAAAAATATGAAGCTACGAATTTTTCCTTAAGCCGTAGCCAGCCAGATTGGCCTAGTGGTCAGCGTGTCTGCCTCTAGGTTAATAGGTCGCAGCTTTGAATCCCGATAGTGGTGTCAAATTTTCACGGAGCTGACGAGTACATCTGCTGAAACAGATCTTTCTCGGCCTTAGCCCCTGAAAATTTGAATATCCTAGAGCATGGATGTGTTGACTCATCATTTGCGATGGCTGTTCGTCAAGTGACTGAGACCAAAGTTAATCCAACCTAGGGAAGACTTCAAGTTCTTGATTTAAAAATAAAAAAAAAAAAACCCTCGAAAATTTTAAAATTTTGGTTATCATTTTTTTCAAAGAAGAAAGCATCGATAAAAATTTGCAACATCAGCCCGAATTAAAATTGTTTAAAAAATAAAAAAAAAATCGTACCGTTCCGACTAAGTAACACTATGTCATAGAGGGTTGAAAAGCGACCAAAAAATTATATTTAAATTCTCTGACAAAAATGTGCGAACCAAAATACAGAGTGAAGCTTTAGACGTACCTCGGATTTAAAGGCAACCGACTCAATAGTAGCACATCCGATGGTAAAAGGCAAGCCTTCAAAAGCTGCGAGCACTTAACTAAGAGGTGAGAAAAGATTGAGCCGTTTGTCTACGACTTTGCTCTATGACTAGACTTGCTCCACGGTGAGTTCAGCCTTCAGACGAGTGCCAAATCAGTGTCGTAAAGTGCCAACTCGGAAAACGAGGATGTGTTGTCAGGCAAGAAAGAAGCAGAGTCGTGATGATTCTCGCAAATTGGTAACACTGCTTCCCTTCGATCTCAATCAATTATATATAATCGATTCCGTGGCGGTCGATTTTTTTCATCATATTCGATTTTTTTATTGGTCGTATCGGAGACTGGTGAAAACGTCTCATTATTGACAATTTTGAACTCAATACTGGAGGTGAATTGGACTACATTCGCAACAAGGAACCTGTATATCTAGCTTATTTTAGTAGGAACATATCGATGGATAATGTGCGAGACAGTGGCGTGGCGTGCCTTGCGGTATATCGATTGATTTGCCATTTAAACTTATGGAAAAGTATCGATAGACAGTGTGCTCGCAACAAACACCTTAATAATCGATTCTTCACCATAGGTTTAAATGGCAGAACAATCGATACATCGCAATTCACTGGTGCGAGACCACGTATCACCGTTTACGACGATGTCGACTTCCTGTCATTCCTTTTCGATTTCTTCATTTATTCTGTAGTCTAAGCGCTTCGCAGAGCGCTCTAGTACGCTGAGGTAGCGGCTTGATATGTATGTATTCTGTAGTCTAAATCTTAAAATGGTTCGATACTGCCGGTCGCAACTGACTTCATCAATGCTACGCTGCGCTTTGAATAAATCATGTTTTTATCTATTGCTTGGGTATAATACTTTTAATAGACCTGCCTTATGTTAACTGGTGTGTAGTGTTGGTTTATTGAAAAATATGGACCTAATCGGTAGTTAATATGTTCCCTGAGGTGAGATAGATGTCACCCTCCCTCTAAACTTTGCCTTACGGATTTTCTGTTCTGCATGCATTATTCTGAATCTGCGGTTAATTTACCGTGTATTATGTTTGATCCGTTCAAAAATTACTTGCACACCTGGATTATTGAGAATCTTCCAGTCATGAATGGTGGAACATATTTGGACTGCATTTTGCAATTTGAAACTGCCGTATCCAGCTAAGTTCAGAAACGACACATGTGCCATTAGTTTCCTGATGCACATGAGTGTTTTTGCGGATGGGCTATAAATTTTCATTTCTAATTGCAATAGGAGTTGATTTCATCGCAAAATTTTGCTTAAAAAGAGTGTTAAATTCATTTCAGCAGCGGATAGTCAATGTTTTCCACTTGCGAAAATTTATGGAAAAGGGGCTTTCAAAATCTTGTCTATCGAAGGAATGTCAAAATTTGAAAGCTATAATAACAGCAAAAAGCTCATCTGATATCGTCCAGCCAATATCAAGATGATATCCAATATGAAGGTTAACAAAAGATCTCGAGACTCGGAAAGAACATTTTCTCAGGTGGTAAAATGTTTTCTCTCATTTTTTTTATTGTTGCATTGCGCAAAATATTTTCAAAATTTTTAGGGAGGCACAATTTGCTCATTTGCATGTCTTGATATCCTCCTTTCTCAAATATAAATGCCGACCGGACAGTTCCATACAATACCTGCGATTTACATGACTTACAATGGGAAAACTGTCATTACGAATGAAGTTCTCCGAAACATTTGGAGAAAAGACATATCGACGGTGAAAGTCGGCAATCACATAACTCGTTTGCGGTGTCTGAAAATCTCCGCCTCTACGTCATTTTATTAAAGGAGAACAAATTGACATTATTTCTTGAAGTTTTCGTAGAATTTTCTTTGCATTGAAAAGAAATATCATGACAGTTTTAAAGAATTGCCGTTGAGTAATTTTCCATTTAAAAAATAAAGTATAACAAGAAGTCTGTGACGTCGCAAACCGAGTTATGTGATTGCCGACTTACTTCGTCGATATATTCATAAAGTTTGTCAGAAAATCGACGATTTGTTTTAATAAATTGGCAAACTTTCAATATTGTTCATACGACTATTTCTTTAACAATTAGCATGACACGTTCAAAACCATTCATGACAGACTGATGCACGTACTTTTTTTGTCATCGTCTGCAATCGGCTCATCATTTAGATCTACCTCAATTTCAGGAGCAGACGCTGAAGGTTGACCGGTACTTACTAACACTGTTGAGACAATTATGGATTAAATACTGCTCGCTGCGATACTTGTAATTGCAAAATTACGGTTGTCGCGGTGTAACTGTGAGGTGTATTATTATTAAACGAGTCGGTACCCGATGTGAAGGCGTTCGTGCGAAATTTTTCCATTTTCTCTAACAGCCCTCCATTCGAACACATTCTAAACATGCGTTAGAAAACCGGCTATGCTGCTGGCGTTACGTCTCAGAATAGCGATGCGTGTCGGCCGATTCTCACCGGTAGCGGTAAAAGACGTTACGTCATAGTTATTGTTTGGATCCTATGCGGCATACCTGAAAATCCATAAAGTGACACTATGATCGATAGCATCTAGTCTGGGCATGTGTGCAGTCCTTAATATTGCAAAAGTAAAATAGTTGGAATATTGAACTTCGATCCTTCACTTTTCTTCAAAGTAAATTCATAAAAACAGATTTTCAGGCTCAAAGGCTGCAGGCGAGGTTCATCACGCAAAAAATCGGATGGCAGTGAAGCAAGTACAACGTTGCCAAATATTCATCTGTTCCGGCCATTTTCAAAAAGAAGTGCGGAAACATCCCGCAGCCATAAACCATGCACCATTAATTTCCCCCATTCAGATATATGTGCCTTTCTGGATAATTCAGAAATAGTGGTTCCTCGTCGCAAAATGTGGTCTGTTTGTCACTCTGTGTCTGAGAGGGAACAATGTAACCTCATTTCGTTCTCAAAAACACGAATATCCCGTCACCACCGCGGGTCGTTGATCTCTGATCATTGTACAACGACGTCAAAGCAAAATGCCAGAGTCCAAAAGTGTGCCCTTTACATAAAAATGCGAGATTTTTTTGGTCTCTCGCGTGTAGGTGTGAAGCACTTCGCTGGAAAATGAGGTCTCGATCACTAAGTAGCGCGAGAACTTCTCAGAATCTGAGGTTTTACAGAGGCTTCCCCGCTTGGTAGAGTGATTAAAAAAACGTTTTTCCTTTTGTGTTTTTGCAAATCTGACTCTATGATCGCACGCTGAAAGTGGGGGCTGGAAAATGGGAGTGCGTGATTGGTTCCATGGAATTGCGGCGGAGTCGTGTAATTTTCCGCGGCCATGACGATTGGGAACGCAAATGTTTTCCGTTTGAGACAAAGTTCATGGGCCAAAGGTCAAGGACCTAACGACATAGTTATCAAAGTCTGTTTCTGTCGAAACAGTAATACTTATTATTTAAAGGAAAAGTACAAACATAAACTTTAGAATTTCTGTGAAACTCATTCGAAGTAAAAAGAACTACACATGAGGGACCCTGAGTATACAATAAAACTTCTGTAACACAGTTCAAATTCATTTCTTAGTTTAAATTCGATATTCGTATTAATTTGTTGACGCATTAGATGATCAGAAAAATATCGTATCTGTAAAAGCAAATACTGCAATTTTGAACAAGCCTTGATTGTCAGAAATTTTTAGTAAAAATATTTCATGATATTTCCCATTCCCGCCCCCTGATTTTTCGAGAAATTAAAGATTTTTCTAAGCACTAAAGATAAACTATCTCAGTCCCACAAAAAATTCTATGACCAACCAATTTTTCCCAATTCTACGACGTTTTTCAAGATTACTCTTGAGGGTAAACAAAATTTCCTCATTCCCAGTTTTCGAGGTTGCTAGACGCCCTGGTATTTTTTGACGAGAACATAACATCAAATAATTGACGAACATACGACTTGCGTTTGACGTTTTTAGAAATGTCTCGAGGTTATTAACCCCCACCAACGGACTATCTTTCCTGCGGGCTGATTATTGAAACTGATACACAAAGCGATGGACAAAGAAGACGTAGGGAGTATAGAGCGATCCCACTGGTTGACATGGTTGGTTCCCATAGACTAAGGAAGAAAATGATGGACCAATTGTCGGGTTTTTGGTGGGTTGCCGTTAGTTACTTCATTACCTACCTCCTATGTCCATTGCCACCACTCGCTTCCACCAAGAGGATCCCTCAGAATCCCGTTTGTCGTCTTTGTCTATAGCTTTATCTATAAGTTTCAATAATCGGCCCGCTGGAGGTGAGGACGAAAAGATAGCTCCGTCACCGGGCGTGATGACCGCATGACTTTGGTTGTAGCGCCTGGATGCAACTATTAGTGTTCGGAAGGTGTCTATGTAGCATCTAAAAAATTGAAGGCGTTTCAGTACGTTTTGCCCACACTGTATAGCATCCCTAAAAATTTTTAAAAGAATCTGCACAAATGTTCTCTTGTGAAAAAATGAATTTGCCTCGTTTAATTTGGTAATAGCTGATGTGGCTTGGTTCCTTTCTGTTAAACGCAGTTCAAATGATGGCATCTTTCAAAAGCTCAAAGTTCCCTCGCAAATGAAATCGAGTGGCGACGACAAATGAGAGCGGTAGTCGAAAAACTTACTAAGTCCTGGTATGTGTTGTCATTAACGTTCAGCTTGCTTTTTGAACATCTTCAGAGGATAAATTGACTTCATTAAAGCAGAAATATGCTCAAATTACCGCCGAGAAGATTTGATTAGGAATCAATAAAGAAAAAAGCGTTTGTTTAAAGAAGAAAAGATGCTCATATAAAAAGAAAAGTCACTTACATCAAGCAAAAACCCGCTTTCATTCAGCTATTTGATTCTTGATTCAAAAAACAATCTTCTTGACAGCATACTCAACAATTTTTCCGCCTAAATCGAGTCATTATTTTCTCTGATGAAATTAAAAAAATTATGCTAAATGTTATTAAATACGGATGCTAGGACTTGGTGAGTTTTTGGAGTATCACTCTCTTTTTGTGCCGTAGTATCTTGATTTAGTTTCCGAGGAAAGCTCCGTACTCTTAAATGGTGAGTGTCATTCT